ACCGGTAAAAAAGAAATAGGATAGTAACCTTTTATCTTAAGAAAAAAGAAGAAAAAAGAAAAAAAGAAGAAAAAAGCCCCACCCCCCCCCCCTGACCTGCCAGTGACACAAATGCGGCATCAAAATATTTGTGCTTCTCTGACCGTAATTAAATGCCTAAGACCCCTGAACCCCCCCCCCCCCCACCATAGGCGCCGGAAGTGGGGGGGGGGCAGGGGGGCAGTTGCCCCCCAGTCAAAAAGGTGGGGGGGCAAAACGCATTTTTGCCCCCCCAAAACGCCCCCCCCCCCCTCCAAAAAAAAAAAAAAGCAGTAAAGGAGTAAAGATAGATTGTATTTTTAACCCCAAAGAACATAACAATAATAAAACCTGAATTAAATCACATATAAAATTATATTCAAAGAAAGGAAAGTACTGTTAACAGGAATTAAATTTCCTAAACATTGCGCATGCCACCTATATTTATCAAAGGAGGTTTTCATAATAGCGATACGCGCATATCGTGGACATACCGTGAGAGAATGGGTAAGCGTGTCTATTTTTGTGTTGTTATAGGGGTGAGAAGACATGAGCCCCTGAACGCTTCCTCTTAATGGCCTTAAAGAGGGCTCCTGGATGCTCATCTAACCGTAATTTAATATCTAAAACCCCTGAGCTTCCGGGGCTCTGCCCCCTGGACCCCACCAAGGGCCCTAAGGCAGGCCCTGGATGCTCATCTGTTCATAGTTAAATATTAAAACCTCTGAACTTCCGGGGGCTCTCCCTCTTAATGGCCTTAAAGAGGGCACCTGGATGCTCATCTGACCGTAATTTAATGCCTAAACACCCTGAGCTTCCGGGGGCTTTGCTCCCTGGACTCTCCGCCAATAAGGGACCTGCCAGTGTCACAAATAAGGTATCTTAATATGCTTATCTGACCGTAACTTAATGCCTAAAACCCTGAGCTTCCGGGGGCTCAGCCCCGTGACCCCCTTCCGAGGCTCATGCCATGGACCCAACACCAATTTACGCTCTACCTGATCGTTAATACTCCACTTTGAAAAACGTTCCACGGGGCCTGCATATAACGTGTAAGAGTGGTGGTTTATGCAGATTTTTCTTCTGCCCCCCCCCTTCCAAACGTTTTTGCTCATTACGTCACTGCCCCTGGAAGGTGAGCCCCCTGGAATGTTTGCCCCCCCAATCCCAAACTGCTTCCGGCGCGCCTGCCCCCCCCACACACACACACACCAATTTACGCTGGCTACCCTCTACCTGATCGTAAATACTTTAGCCCCCCACTTTGATAAACGTTCCGCGGGGCCTGTGTATATAATATATACGCATACAACACTGATCTTTATGATGTCTTTAACGTGACATATCTTCTTCTCCCCTTGCAAACGAGAAAGAAAACAAGGTCATTAAAAGAGATTAAGCGACAAATAATGATTGTGATTCAAATTGATGCGAATATTTGTTTGAATAAGCACTGCTATTCACCCGAATCTTCATTGTAAAAACAACTTTTACAAATCTCAGCCATGCTTACTGAGTTGAGACGTTCCATTCAATTTAAAATACTCATCAAAGAATACACTTCTCCGAATCTGAAAGTGATCTTACAACACAGTGTCAGATTTGCATGGCTGAGATTTGTAAAAGTCGTTTTTACAAAGAAGATTCTGGTGAAAAGCATTGCTTATTCAAAAAAAATCCTTGCACGATTTGAATCACAATGATTATTTATCGCATGATCCTTTTATTATATAACCTTGTTTTCTTTTCCGTTTGCAGGGGAGAAGAAGCTATGTCACGTTAAGAAATCATAAAGATCAGTTGTATTATGCGTATATGATACCAGAACAAAATGTTGATTATCAGAATGTCATTTTGGAATACCTCTATACAAATACCACATTGTCTTTAGCCCGTATCAGTATTAGTATGATCCAATATAAAGCTATTATTCTTTATTTAATTCAGTATAATGCTTTTTGGCGACCACAAATTGTGCTTTCTGCTTCTTCTTCGTTTGGTATTAATATAATAGTTAAAGCTTTTTTTAAAAAACACTCGCGTTGACCTTTTATTGAATTTCTTGATGTCTGTTGCCTCGAGATCATTGGAGCGAAGAAAGATAACAATGTATAATTAGAAACCCTATTCAATAAAGGATAAATCCTTTTTATGCAGATGGTTCTTTTACTATTCTTGACCAGAAGCGCGTTTCAAGCTCAATAAGACGGGCATCAGCCCATTGCATGTTGTGTCCAGAGTATCAAGGACGTTTTCTACGAGATGGAATGGCTCTTTAACACAATAGGGGCAGTGAAATTTAAATTTCAATGTATGGATTATAATTTTTATCGCTCACGACGGCTATCTAGAATGTTCTGAATTGCCAAACTCCAGAGTTTCCAGGGGCCCTGACTCCTGGATCCCTGGCTGGGGCACTGTCCCTGCAACCCACCATGGGCCCGAAGGCGGACCCATGGACCCCAGCCGTAAAGATAGAAGTGGTTCCCAATACAACCTTTCGTTGTAGGAAATTGGAGCGAGTGTGAGTTTTGTATGGTTAAAGCTTTAAAAAAAAACACTCCCGTTGACCTTTTATTATAATACACAATGTCTTGCTGTCTGCTGCCTCGAGATCACTGGAGCGAAGAAAGATAACAATGTATAGTTAGAAGCCCTATTAAATAAAGGATTAATCATTTTTATGCAGATGGTTCTTCTTGACCAAAAGTGCGTTTCAAGCTAAATAATGCGGGCATCATCCCATTGAATGTTGTGTCCAGTATTGGTTGGAACTTGAAGCAAAATTACATATTGTTTGGTTTGACAGAAGCTAAAAAGACAAATAACAGTGCCTTTAACACAGGAATTAACAAGATCACGCTGGGCTCAGCCTGCAACATCATGGTACTACTTGGTTAATTGGTTGCATGGTCCTCCAAAATGGCCGCCTATAGCCTTGCCGCAGACTGTATGCGGCAAGACTGGAGCAAAGTTTCATTCTGCCGCAGATCTGCCGCAGATCTGTTCCTGCGATATAGTGGTATGCGGCAAGTCTGCAACAGAGTTTCATTCTGCCGTAGATCTGCCGCAGACTTTTCCTGCGGCATACTAGTATGCGGCAAGTCTGCAACAAAGTTTCATTCTGCCGTAGATCTGCCGCAGATCTGTTCCTGCGGCATAGTGGTATGCGGCAAGTCTGCAACAAAGTTTCATTCTGCCGCAGATCTGCCGCAGACTGTTCCAAGTCTGCAGCAAAATTTCTTTCTGCCGCATACTTCGACATTCTCTTTGCCGCAGACTTAATTTGCAGTATGCCACAGACCCGCCGCAGATCAGCAGCAGATCTGCGGCAGGTCTGCGGCGTACGTTTTACTTTCCTATGGGTAATGTAGATGAGAGGGGTTCGTTTCACAAACAAAATTATACCCCTGACATTACGTGAATAAAGGGGCATGTTTTCTGATTTTTTAAATCTGATATAAAGAATTCTCAGAATAGCGATTGTATTCTACAAATGAAATGAAATACATTCGTCCCTGTTTTCACGAAGTGACGGTAGAGCGCGCAACTAAAAGAAAGTTAGTTTTGAATAAATCGCTTTCAAAGGTTCGAGCCATAATCTCAACCTCTTTAATTTATCAAAGGCAAATAAATTTTATATCCTGGGATTGAAAATATCTCAATGTTTAGTTCTATCTTTAAATATTTCCATAATTTCTTATATTTTTTGAGGAAATGAGCTGTAAACATTACCGTCACTTCGTGAAAACACGAAATTCAAGGACGCGCTGTGATTTTGTTTTCACGAAGTGACGGTAGGTAGCCGCGCGCGTAAAAAAACATATGGGATTTTTCTCTCGTGGATGGAATTCTCGAAATGGACACTAAATACGGCAAAACGTTTTGTTTAATTGATGTACAGATAAAATAATTCGAACTGTGAGAAAGAGTACATTTTCCTCTTTCTGTAGCTGCTTTTTCATTTCTCTGTGTGGACTGTTAACACATCCGTCATTTCGTGAAAACACAAATTGCATAGAACGCTTTGATTTTGTTTTCACGAAGTGACGGTACGTAGCCGCGCGCGTAAAACGTATGGGACTTTTCCCTTGTGGATGGAATTCTCGAAATGGACACTAAAAACGGCATTATGTTTTGTTTAATTGATGTACAGATAAAATAATGCGAACTGAGAGATAGAGTACATTTTCCTCGTTTGGTAGCTGTTTTTTTTTTATTGATAAGAATAAACTGAATGTCTCTGTATGAACTTTTAACTTAACCGTCATTTCGTGAAAACACAAATCACATAGAACGCTTGTATTTTGTTTTCACGAAGTGACGGCTCGTAGCCGAGCGCGTATAAAACATATGGGATTTTTATTGTGTGAATCAATTTCATGAGATAGACACTGAAATACGGTAAAATTACTTTTTTAATAGATGTATGGATAAAATAAGAGCACCTTTTCTTCTTTGTATAATTATGATGTTAGATGTATGATGTCAGTTTTTGTTCACGAAGCTACGGCTCACAATAAATTAACTATCAATAGCACAGATGGATATTGGCACAAAGTGCTTTTAAAATGATTAATAAGCTATTCTCTTTAATCTTAAGCTAAAAATGGATATGTATTTAATATTCTTTGAGGTTTAATTATCAGGTATATTGTATGTAGTAGGAACTAAAGATTGCACTAAAGTTACTATATACTTTCCACTTAAGAACACGTTCAAGTAGTCTCCCTCTCTCTCTTTACCCCCTCCATCTCCTCTTAATATCACACAAATTCTGCCATTTCTTGTTGAAATTCATGCGGGTGATATTAGGGCTTTTGCTACTCTATTACTATGTGGAATTTCTAAATATATTTTTTCACATAGGAAATAAAGCAAATATGTTAAGAAATATTTTTGAATGAAGGAAAATATTCAGTATTGATCATTGACCATAATCTGTAGTTAACTACTCAACTCTGCAATATAAACACAGAAAATGAATTTCGACTGAGCAGTTTTAATTCAAACATTTGGAACCAGAACAGCAAGTGGCAAATGGAGAATAAATTAAAAATATTAAATAATTCATACCAAACATATCATCATCAATTATCATCAATACTATATTGCATTTTGAAATGTACATTTAGGGATTTGTGGAAAAGACTCATCAGGTATACAGCCACGGAATACAAAGGTTATTTAGCACATTATACAGTACTAAATATGCTAAAAATGTCTTTAACTTATTCTTCATACATGTCCTGGTTATCATGTTTATTCAGCAATCATAGCAAATAAATGCCACATACTACATGTATGATGAAGTCAACAAAGAAATAAATCTATATTCAAAATACCATTCCAAAACAAAATGAATAAGAAATTTTACATCATTAGCATGCTGAAATATACTGGTTGCTAAATAAACTCTTTTTTTTAAAGGTTCATCTGCACAGATTTTTTTTTACCTGAAGACAAAAGAGGTATTCAAAACAGTACTGTGTGGTATAGTCTCTTTCTTGCACGCCATGGTTATCCTGTTCTGGCTGAAAGGTTTACATGTTGATCGTAACAAAACGAGGCAGTTCTTGAAAAAAAAAGATGGCACAGTTTTTTCAATGGGAAATATGACTAATATAATCATCATCATTACTTTTTTGTTCATTACTGTTTTTCATTAATATCTTGTGAGTAGAGTTTCAGAAGCAAGTCAGTTTACACAATCTCTTTCTAGGGTATTTCAATAAAATTTAGTACACAGTCTCAAACGCTACAAAGTTTACCAATGCTAAAAGGTTGTCTTCACCCAGGCAAACACGTAATCTCTGACTAAACAATTATCAGCTGAACAATGCATGATAAACATGGAAATATCAATTTGACTAAACAATTTCATTTCTCATCAAACAGATAAAATTTAAAACAGCAACATTATATTGTATGATTATAAGATAGTTTGAAGTACCAAATACAATTATGATGAGAATGACTATAGAAGTAAAAATAAAAACATTAAATGTGAACTAGTAACATTGTGTTGTGTTTTGAAAGAAAAATCAATTGTGGAAATGTAACTTATATTCATGTTCTAATGAAGGCATCAACCCCTGTGAATACAAACATTTAAAGAAAGTAGATAAACAAATTCTTCAATACAAAGATACGATATGAGGATTCATGGAACTGGAATCGAAAACTTAATATGCATTACTGATTGAGGTAGGTATACCTGATAAATAGCTGTTCTGAGCTATACATTTGAATAATAAAGATTTATGTGTGCAGAAGTTCATTGCAATACTGTAACAGAAAACTGACACCTGTACGACTATTCAGTTCATTGTTTCAGAAATCATGGACAATGTTACCAGTTTGCTTTAAATCAATTCATTGATTTTATAATCAATCCATTTCATTGCGATTACAACACACAATTACAATTATGAGTGGTGTTTGCTTTGTTTATGATATTTAAAATGTTTAAAATAAAACAGTATAAAAGAGAGATTGAGGTATTGAAACATTGAAGCATTGTCAAAACGATCATGTAATTGATTCTAGCTCTTCAACAACAGTTCTTCAAGTTTCTTCACACGTATGTCATCCAAGCAATAGGGGTTGAAGCAGCGAAGATCCTTTATCTAGACTGCGTGAAAGCAAAAGGAAATAAGAGAAAGAACAATCAATAGAAAACCATTATCAGAATTTCAATTATGAAAGGGAAACTTTACAGTGCATTATGATTGGGCGAAATTATTTTGTGTAGTTTTGGTACCAACTTTTAGAGAGGCTCTTAATGAATTAAATACTTTATTTGGTATCACCTTAGTATTGGCAATTTTTGTTAAGGATTTAAAAAAAAATTAGATGCTGACCTCGATAGGACCACTCATTCCCTTAACTAAGGGACCTAAGCATTAAAATCAATTAAGAATATCTAAAATTTTAACTATTGGGAAACAATCAAGAAGGAGAGAAGATACCTTTTGACTCGCTCAGAAGCATAGACAATGGGTCATCATCAGAATCGCAATCGGAGCCGTCAGGAGACTTTAAGGGTCACCATGCCAAGTCACACATGCAGCTCTGACTGTACATGTTCGGTGAATTGCTTCAACGGTTCCATACCGCTCCCACTCTTAGGTCACTATGCCAAGCCACAATCCCAGCTCTGTGTTCAGTGAATTATCAAGGACCCATCTTCCCAGCATGTCGGTCTCTGTATCCAATCTAATTTTGTAGAATGAAAGAAATAATTACAAGTTATTTTCTTTCATTTTTTTTGCAAGCAGAGGTAAGGAAATGAATCCAATATTATCTTTTGTACATCAAATTAATTACTAGGCATAACTGACCCCAAACAGAAGTTTTCAATTGCCCCTATTACCCCAAAATAGAATTTTCCAATTGCCCCTACCAAACAACAACCACCCGAATGCACATACGCAGTGAGTGTGCTTAGTACTTTGCTGCTAAAGTGTGATTTTCCTGAACAGATCATGAAACTATTCTCACCTGGATTTGTTTCTGGCCTGTGGCATTCTTGAAAAGTAGATGTACTTTCCCAGTGCTTCCTTCATATAAGTGCAAATTGTATCTACTGCATCTGAAACTAAAGTGAAAGCAAAAACATCATCATAATTTCATTACCACTGAAGTGTAGGTAGTGAGACATGTACATCATCTGGTATGGTGCTTGCTTGGAAAATTCTTTAAAATATGAAGTGGAGTTGGGCAACATTTGCTGGTATCAAGGACAATCGTTTACAAGAATTTTTATATAGGGTGAGGGACCAAGGGTACTAAAGTGCTGCCTTTGGATATAACAGACACAGAGTACAGATAATGAGATAAACTAAGCTAAAAATGTGGACATTGTTCCCCAAAAGGTAGACTACTCATGATTACTTCGGTCTCAAAACAAAAGTATTCCTTTTTCGGATGGTGCCATTTTTTCAGGGCAGGACTGTATCTAATTTTCAATTTTTAATTAAATGTTCATTCATGTCCTTCTTTGCTTGACAGGCAAATCGTGGACTTCCCTAACAGTTAACCAGGAGGGGCTACTTCCCAGGTCATCTCAGCTCAGCATGATGATAATTTTTTCATAACTCCCTTTGCCCTTGGCCATGTTGATGTTGGCCTTGGGCTTAATGCCCTGAAGTTTCTTAAACCCCAGGCACGCCTTACAAGAAAGGTCTCAGTCTGGTCTAGATCCTGATCTACTCATCTCTAGATTCTAGATTGATGAGTAGTGGCTGACATAAACTGATAATTATAAAATGATGATCTAGAGTAACTAGAGTTCTAGACTCTAAATCAAATTTATAATTAGCTACAGGCCTAAAAGTAAATTACTGAAAAAATAAAAGTAAAACTCTAGTCTCTAGATCTAGAGTCTAGACCCTATACTTGATCTCTAACTTTCTGTAAAACTTGTTCAAATTTATAACTTAAGCAGATATAAAAAGAACCTTAGAGGTCTATAGCATTAATATTTGGTGTGGAGCTAAATAAGAAAGACTCTCCACTTAAGTTATTTAGTCTAGATGTATATTTGTTAAGACATAAGTTGATCTTTTTAGTTTTTGATCACATGATACTTCACTCCTTTATTCACTTACATGAAAATAAGTATATGGGGCGATATGTGGAACGGCGGTGTATATTTCACACATTTCTGTGCTCATGGACATATTTATGGCTTACAAAGAATCAGAATGAATCAAAAGAGTGTACCACATTAATTTACCTTAAAAAAATGTTTAAAAACTCACCTTTTCATGGTCTGTGACTGTTCCAAACTGCGAAATGTTCACTACCGTCACTTCGTGAAAATATTAAAAGCAGGAAAGGGCAAACGATGTTTTCACGAATTGACGGCTGTTAAGCGCGTACTTGGCCGTCACTTCGTGAAAACAGAAAATCCTTTTGCTACGGTATTTTCTTGTTTACGTCATCGTCATAGTGATTACGGTCTGAAATTTTTTGAGGTTCAAGATGTTAGTGGATGATGTCCAAAAATGCAAAAAAATCGAAAGTGAAATTATATGCGATTTTGCTCACTACCGTCACTTCGTGAAAACAGTCATGTAGTGCAAAAAAAAAAGGTGCTTCCAACACCACCCCGCCGGGTGCGTTATTTTTTTATGCGGCACAGATTGGGGCATGGCGCGTGTTAAACCTATGGGAAGTACGTTCTTTCCCTTCTGAATAGTGTCTGCACGTACGTGAGACTAGTCATGTTCGCTAGCGCATTAGCGCTGCGAAGAAGTTTGTATATCCATCGCGAACTATGTGTTTAGATAACATTCCTCTTCGTTTAAGTTAGTTAAGTTTTATTGACTAATTATTGTGATGTTCTCCTTATTGACGTGCTGCCTCCTCTTCAGATTTCCAATTTGATTTTAATTGTTGATGTAATGATTTTCCATGCGGTAGTGGATTACATGTAACACTATTAAAAACAGACCTCTACTACTTATACTGTCTAGTACGCACACGACCAGTATTAGTCTGTAAATCAAGACCCCTTTTTAAAAAAAGCCCCAATCTGTGCCGCATTGCGAATTTTTTTTCCGTACTCGAGAGGGCAAATACCCCATGTGCGCATGCGCGTGGACTTGTGATTTCTCTGCTACTTCCCATACGAAATGTACATGTATTCGCATGTACTGTGCACGATTCGCGTTCTACGAGTAAACGATGGCATAGTAGTCTTCAAACACAGACTCTGATTTGCCAGTTTGACAAAACAATTACGCATATATCGTGCGTAGCAATAGTACTAGTATTCAAGTCTGAGTAGTTGTATGATTCAGACATTTTAGTGCTTACAGAAATGCATCCCAAATTGAATAGCATGGTATAGTAGTCTGCAAGCACAGACGCTAATCGGACAGTTTGACAACATAGTGTCTTGAGTAGTGCTTTATATTCAAATATGTGTAGTTTTATGATTCAGACCCTACTGGTGCGTGTATTGGAAAGGCATCTCAACTTGCAGAGTGGCATAGTAGTCTGCAAGCACAGACGCTAATCTGACAGTTTGACAAAATAGTGTTATTCAAGTCTGAGTAGTTTTATGATTCAGACCCTACTGGTGCGTGTATTGGAAATGCACCTGGTGCGTGTATTGGAAACGCACGCACCAGTAGGGTCTGAATCATACATCTACGCAGACTTGAATAAAGTACTTCTCAGCACACTACTAGTATGTTGTCAAACTGTCAGATTAGCGTCTGTGCTTGCAGACTACTATACCATTCTATACAAGTTGGCGACTTGAATAAAGTACTTCTCAGCACACTACTAGTATGTTGTCAAACTGTCAGATTAGCGTCTGTGCTTGCAGACTACTATACCATTCTATACAAGTTGCAATGTATTTCCATATGCACTACTGGGTCTGAATCATACAACTACACAGACTTGAATAAGCACATCGCGACACATACGCATATTGATTTGTCAAACTGGCAAATCAGAGTCTGTGTTTGAAGACTACTATGCCATCGTTTACTCGTAGAACGCGAATCGTGCACAGTACATGCGAATACATGTACATTTCGTATGGGAAGTAGCAGAGAAATCATAAGTCCACGCGCATGCGCACATGGGATTTTTGCTCTCTCGAGTACGGAAAAAAAATTCGCCCCCGGGGTTATACGGAGAATAGAAATCTTCGATGATAAAAGTTACGTTGGGTGTTTCTGAGAGAACTGGGGTCGTATTAAGACGATGTTATTCTTCATGTTCAGGGATAACAGTGGATATTTAAGAGGGTCTATTACCCTCGGTGTTGTTGTGATGAACCTTATTGTCATGGTCATTGTCCTATGCAATGTCTGTATCCTACACAATCGCAAAGACATTCAAAACATCCATTCACCCACCCATCTGTCCATCCATCCGTTCATAATTATGGACCCTCCCAACCCTCAATCCACGCATTCATCTACCTTTTTATCCACCTATCTGTCCATCAACCCATCCTCCATCCATCCATCGTTTCATTCATCCATCCATTTATCTATCAACCCACCATTCCCTTCATCTGTTTATTCATCCATCCATCCATGCACCCACCCATCAATCAATCCATCTATCAATCCATCCATCCATCAATATTAATCCATCCATCCATCAATCCATACATCCATCCATCCATCAATTAATCCATCCATCCATACATCCGTCCATCCATCCATCCGTCCATCCATCCATCCATCCATCCATCCATCAATCCATACATCCTTCCATCAATATTAATCCATCCATCCATCCATCCATCCATCCATCCATCCATCCGTCCGTCCATCCATCCACCCATCCATCCATCCATCCATCCATCCATCCATCCACACATCCATCCATCCTTCAATCAATATTCCATCCATCCATCCATTCATCCATCCGTGAAAATCAATGATTATGTAGACATCGGCAATATATTTATATCATTTCATCCATTCAATCCATAATGATGTGGACAAATCAATACAATATAACAAACAGCGCATGCATGCAGCACACACAATCACAAATTAACTAATAAAAATGACTCTATTCAAAATGTACGTGGTACAGCCAAGATATTCTTCTCTTTTAATTGTGTGATGCGAAAGAGCACTTCAAGATTTTATGATCAATGTAACAATTTTGTCTGTAATATTTGTCATAAGTAAATTACTTATTATATTGTTACTATTATATCTGCTGTTGACATAATGTAAGTCAACTAGGAACATATTTCAAGACGCAATTTAATACATTTTAACAAAAACTTGGAAAAGTCGCATCATAAAATGAATTGTACACAATCATCAATAATAATAAAACGACACAAAATATTAAAGCACCACCTAGTAAGAATTTCTCTATGAAGATGCATTTTGAAATAAAAAATATTTCCTGTATCTCCAGCTGAGCTGCGCATACTTTCTATCGGTAAAGGCATCTAATTCCTTCCAAATATTCCATATATATTACAATTACACTGCAAATGAATATACTCTCGCACAAAATACTTTTTGGTTGTATATTACTGTGATTTTTTTCCTCGAAACTGTGCTCATTTTACATATGTAAAAGTAACAGGAATAAGTAAGAAAAGCAAAGAAAAACACAAAGACAATCCATATAACTATAAATCTGCACAAATGGAACGTAATCTTTGAATTGGCAAGTGCCTTCATGGTATCAGCAAAGAACAAAAACATAAGGGAATAAGGAATAAAATAGAAAACAATACAGTTTACAAATACTGGAATGTTACATAGGACCCCAAAAACACACTTTATGAATTGTTCGTAAAGGACAAAGGCCAATCTATGAGAAATCTCTTGATTTATAATCCCGGAAGCAACCGATTCAACATATAAACTTTTGTAATATCAATTGATCACTTGTTTTGGTGTACTAGAAGGGCAAAATGGTCTCAAAACACCAGTGGCAGTTAGCCGATGTATTTAATTTGTATGCATATTTCTTTGTTGTAAATTGCTCTTAATGACCAGTAATCTTTGCCAGAGAGTTTCCTGACATTTCAATATATTGTCTCTTTGAAGCCAGAAGGGCATTTACTCTGCTAATCCATATATGAGTAAAGGCCCCCTTCTAGCTTCAATTATACAATATGATGAATGCAAGGTAGATTCATGATTACAGATGATATCACAAATTAAAAATCATTGGGCGAAAGAAATTACGTGTCATCACGGGTCCTTGGAAGAAAAGTCCATATAACTGAACTAATTAGTTAAAAGGTCTATTGAGATACAACTGATAAACTTGTATGCCATGTTGGTCCTCTTACATACTCCCTATCATCATGTGTGAAGTGTGAACAGCTCCTTACCAACTTCAGTTTGCAAACTGCTTGTAACTTGAGGTGCATTAAGAGTACTGGAATGCTTAATAGAGCACATAATAAGATACTGTTGATTGCGTATAAAACAGGATGTACCATGTTTTTGAATGAAGAATTTACAGTAATACTTGTGTACCAACATCATTTAAACGTTCATTTCTTAGAAAATTAATACAACCCCAACATCCCATCATACAAAATAAACCAAATTACTAGTAGTCTAAATCTAAGCAGGATAAATCAATACAGTTGAAAATGAAATTATTATACATTTTGTTTTTCAAATGTTGCAATGGTTTTAACTAAGAATTTTTAGGACTTTTCCTATTTCTATGAGAACCTCTGCACTGCAAAGATATATAAATCTACAGCACTCGTACAAGCTGCGCCTTAAGCAGTTGATTGTCAAGTAGATTTGGCGCCATACAAATCTTGTGTATTATTATTATTATTTTTATTATTATTATTATTATAAATTGACTATTTTTGTTTTCATGTATATCAACAACATTTTCAACAACGGTGCAAACATGATAGTACAATGTGTATCAAAGAGTTAGAGAGAAGATGAGATGGAGAGCTAGAGAGAGACGGAGAGAAAGATGAGGGAGAGAGAGAGAGAGAGAGAGAGAGATACATACAAACATGACTTTACTGTCAGCAGTTGAATTAGAGTGGTACAGGCCGGGGTGGTCAGAAAAAACAGGAGCAGCTAGGGAACACAGAAGAAACCTTATGCTACGGTCACAAAGGTCACAAACGATAATTTCGTACGAATCTCCGTTTTTCCATTGTCTTCCCGAATTTCCATTGTCTGAAAATCGTTCGTAGGGCGTTCGTAATGGCATTTGTGACCGAGGCTTTAGCTGAACAAGGATCATATTATATGCTGTAGTATAATAGAATGTCTGTGTGCATGTACACACATAGATGTAAAGCTAATGTACTGGTATGTTGAGAGTCAGAAAGGCATAACTCAGAACAGAGATAATGCCCTTCTTGCTCGCTCTGAACAGATACAAGTGTTTTTAATGGCAAAAGTTAACAGAGCAAGCCTGCATGTACCTAACAAGATCACTGCCCGGAAATGCCAAATGTAACCTGCAAGAGAACATACTTATGGTTGAATAGACTTGCATTAGGAACTAGCATTGTACGAGAGTAGCCAAGGGTGAAGTATTGTATGCATGCATTCCACATGTGTACACGCAGCATGCCCTTGTATCCCTTCAGAAGGGCGTCAATTGACTCTGTGTTAAAGTATATGAATTAAAGCTATTCTGGCTCCAAAGAGACGATGTGACTATTGCCTGGAATTTTAATGTGTTTCTGCATGGCTCGTAAAAACACACAAGGGTATTTATTGAGCAGCGACGGCCCTAGCTCTTATACTTCATATTTTTTATGAATATATAAAAGAACATGAGCCACATTGGAACATTATTTGAAGACATTATATTGTAGGTATACATTGGCATACAGCAAATTAAACACAAGTTTGACCATTAGGCAGTTCAACTGACTCACTCTGAAAGATATCATGGTAGGGTTTGGTACATTATTTGAATAGCTTATGAGCTAATTGACTTTGTAGCGTGATTACTGGAATGCATGTCTGCGAAATGTCCTATGCGATACACCCCATATCACATTTTGCTTAGATTGGATGAAGAAGAAAAAATGGAACTAGATCTTAATAACTAACATCTCTATACTTTCAACAACAAAAACCCCAACGAACCAAAGCAATCACTCACCACCTCAACTAGCAAATATAAAACAAGATAGAAAAATTCCAAAAGATAAAACTTGCACTATTATTTGTTGTTTCTTTCATGACCTACGGTAGTCAATTATGAAGAGAGCCAAATGTAGTTTAAGGAAGGTAGTTTGGGAATCACTTCAGTTTCAGGAAACCTTCGATGTCCTCTTCTTCAACAGCAATTTCAAAAGCAGCATAGTCCTGCAAAAGGAAAAAAATGAGAGAGAATTATGTTAGCCCTGGAGCAACTGCTTGTAAGTAATAATAATAATAATGGGTTCTTGTATAGCGCTCGTGTCAGTCAGATTTGACCCTCCTGGCGCTCCCGATTATTACCCTGGCTTTAGCACGGCTGCCATACGGCGCTCTAGCATTTCAAGGAATAAATTCCTACCAGGTACCTATTTACTTCACCTGGGTGGAGTGTGGCAAATGTAGATCAATGTCTTGCCAAAGGACATCAGTTTAGCGGCAGGACTCAAACCGCGGACCTTGTGATCGACAGTCCGGCGACGTATCCACTCGACCACAACACCTCTATTACCTCTACTGCAGTCATAATTTCACATAAAACCTTGACAAAACAGCCATGGAAAGCCACTCATGCGATACAGGGTGGGACAGCTTACATCGAAAGGGTGCGTTGCGTTGCGGCGCGGCGCGGTGTGGTGAGGTGAATGCACCCATTCGAGAACCCCCCCCCCCCCCCGCTTTTCTCGAAAGGTGCGTTGAGAACGGAGTACTGGCTTAACACATCCTTTCGGGATAAGCGGGGGGGGGGGGGGGGGGGGGGGGATTTTATCGAAAGGGTGCGTCGACTAGTCTTTTAAATCAGTCGTTTAAAATGTTAAAGGAATAGAAATGTCGTTTTATAAATTGAAATTATCAAAATTGAAACAACTTTTTACGTAGTCTTGCAGATCAGGCATTTACAGTGTATAAGAATTAAATCAGTTAATAAAAAGAAACACAATGAAATTGAATTGAACTAAAGAAGGGCATATTATGTGAAAAAAATGTGACTTTCCTTAAATTTAAATTTGTGTGGATGTGATAACCATTATAGATAGCAAATATGCCGGTGAATACATTTTTCAGATGTATTATATAGACATTAAAAGATAATTTCAATTTGTTTTGGCAAAATGTTTAAAAAAACATGAAAAAAAACATGTGCCCTCCAACAGTTTTTCAGCAAGACTTAATGGCCTGAATTTACAAAGCAGGGTTTGAGCTCAAACTACCTTTTGTTTCTCCAAACCTCCTTTTGTTCTTTACAAACCAGGTTTGTAAAAAACGCGTAAAACGCGTCATATGACGTACGAAAACCAAGGTTTGTCGACAAACCTCCTTTGTGAATTCGGGCCAATGAGTACATAAACGTGTCTGATTAAGTAAAATGGCATTTAATGTTTATTTGTAATTTAACGACTGTTATGCAAGACTAGTTATCATTTAAAAAATGAAATTCCATACAAAAAAAGAAAGGGATATTATATTTTATTTAAATAAATAAATAAACAACTGATATGCAAAACTAGCTAAACACCTATATTTGCCTTTTTTTAAAATATTTACCGGTAAGTTAATTATGCAAGACTACGTAAAAAGTAGTTTCAATTTGGATTAATTCAATTTATAACACGACATTTCTATTCCTTTAACATTTTAAACGACTGATGTGAAAGACTAGTCGACGCACCCTTTCGAGAAAGCCCCCCCCCCCCCCCCACCCCCAAACAAAAAAAGAAAGGGATATTATATTTTATTTAAATAAATAAATAAACAACTGATATGCAAAACTAGCTAAACACCTATATTTGCCTTTTTTAAAAATATTTACCGGTAAGTTAATTATGCAAGACTACGTAAAAAGTAGTTTCAATTTGGATTAATTCAATTTATAACACGACATTTCTATTCCTTTAACATTTTAAACGACTGATGTGAAAGACTAGTCGACGCACCCTTTCGAGAAAGCCCCCCCCCCCCCCCCCCAAACAAAAAAAAGAAAGGGATATTATATTTTATTTAAATAAATAAATAAACAACTGATATGCAAAACTAGCTAAACACCTATATTTGCCTTTTTTTAAAATATTTACCGGTAAGTTAATTATGCAAGACTACGTAAAAAGTAGTTTCAATTTGGATTAATTCAATTTATAACACGACATTTCTATTCCTTTAACATTTTAAACGACTGATGTGAAAGACTAGTCGACGCACCCTTTCGAGAAAGCCCCCCCCCCCCCCCCCCCCACCCCAAACAAAAAAAAGAAAGGGATATTATATTTTATTTAAATAAATAAATAAACAACTGATATGCAAAACTAGCTAAACACCTATATTTGCCTTTTTTTTAAATATTTACCGGTAAGTTAATTATGCAAGACTACGTAAAAAGTAGTTTCAATTTGGATTAATTCAATTTATAACACGACATTTCTATTCCTTTAACATTTTAAACGACTGATGTGAAAGACTAGTCGACGCACCCTTTCGAGAAAGCCCCCCCCCCCCCCCCCCCCCCCCAACAACAAAAAAAAGAAAGGATATTATATTTTATTTAAATAAATAAATAAACAACTGATATGCAAAACTAGCTAAACACCTATATTTGCCTTTTTTTAAAATATTTACCGGTAAGTTAATTATGCAAGACTACGTAAAAAGTAGTTTCAATTTGGATTAATTCAATTTATAACACGACATTTCTATTCCTTTAACATTTTAAACGACTGATGTGAAAGACTAGTCGACGCACCCTTTCGAGAAAGCCCCCCCCCCCCACCCCCAAACAAAAAAAAGAAAGGGATATTATATTTTATTTAAATAAATAAATAAACAACTGATATGCAAAACTAGCTAAACACCTATATTTACCTTTTTTTTAAATATTTACCGGTAAGTTAATTATGCAAGACTACGTAAAAAGTAGTTTCAATTTGGATTAATTCAATTTATAACACGACATTTCTATTCCTTTAACATTTTAAACGACTGATGTGAAAGACTAGTCGACGCACCCTTTCGAGAAAGCCCCCCCCCCCCCCCCCCCCCCCCCCCCCCCCCGCTTATCCCGAAAGGGTGTGTTAAGACGGTACTCCGTTCTCAACGCATCCTTTCAAGAAAAGCGGGGGGGGGGGGGGGGGGGGGGGGGGGGGGGGGGGCTTTTCTCGAATGGGTGCGTTGAACTCATCACAGAGACATTACCAATTCTGCCAATTTTAAGAGGTCATACTTACATATGTGTATAGTGAAAAAAAACTTTCAAAAATTCATAACTTTCTCAATTTTTGTCCAATTTCATTTAAACTTTCACCAGTGTACTTCTCAGATTTTTCTGCTTTCCTCTACTGTTGTGCACTATAAAGGTTGGATCTTTTAATAATTAATAATAATAATAATATTTGGTTCTTGTATATATATAGCGCATTATCACCAGGCACTTAGCCAGGATCGGTTGCATTTTTTTAGACCCCTTTTTTTTACCTCGATCGATTACATGTATGTGCCCCCCCCCCCCCAAACATCAAACTCTGGCTACGTGCCTGATTATCACAATATATAACTTCTCTATGCGCTTCCAAAGAGGTTTGGAAATTATTGCACTATAGCTTTAGCTCCGGCAGCCGTAATTAGCGCACAGTGCATTTCAAGGAATAATCCTACCAGGTACCCATTTACATGTACCTCACCTGGGTCGAGTGTGGCAAATGTAGAGTAATGTCTTGCCAAAGGACATTAGTGCCAAAGGACATTAGTGCCGCGGCGGGACTTGAACTGTGGACCTTGTGATCCACACAGTCTGGTGACATATCCACTCGACCACGACACCTCTACAAGTAAACAATATAGACTCCAAAAACTGTTAAAATTCACACGGTTGTTGCAAGAGCAAGAGTCATACAACAATTACACTCACCCCACAATAGGTTTCTCCATTACAGATCTGAGGTGGAAGGGCTTTTGGATCACCAACTATTTCCCTCATCTTCACCTTATCTTCCTCCTTCTGTGAAATGTCTACATCCTCATACTCAATCTTCTTTCCATCTAAGATCATTTTAATCCTCTGTTGTTGTTTCTTGATCTGCAAATTGCAACAACATTAATAATAATGATAATAATCATAGTGATAATGATAACAATAACAACAGCAACAATAATGATAGTTAGTTAATAGTAATTTACTTCTTAAACAAGAGAAAAAAAGTTCAAATGTAATCTAGCAAATCTTACTTTACAACTAAGAAAATGGAAGAAGAAAATAAAAACTTCAACAAACCGTGGGAATTACAATATAAGCAACTTTTAGTCAATCAACCTCAGGTGAAAATGAAAGTCCATTCAAAGAAAAGGAAAGTAAACAGGGATTAAATATCCTAAACATTCTACATGCCCCTATATTTATCAATGGAGGATCTTATAATAGCGATACGAGCATATCGTGGAAATATTGTGAGAGGATTGGAAAGCGTGAGTGTTTTTTTTATTATAGGGGTGAGAAGACATGAGTCCCTGGACACTTGCATACTGATGGGGGAGGGGCAGTTGCCCCCCAAATAAAATTAAAACATGGTTTATTTCTAATTTGATACCAGTGATTTAGAAATGTTGCTGAAATGACATGATTTTCCGGGATATTTTCTCAGTTTTTTTGGTGTAAATTATTCTTTTTTATGCGTTTGTTGGAAAATTCGGGCAAAAAATATGCTAATTTAGAAGCCTTAATGCAAGGGCCTGCAGAACAGCAGGGCTCTGGCTGGGTTTGAGCCCTCCCCTCATTTTTTTGAAAAAGGATGTGAAAGAGAAAAAGAAACAATGAGTGACCTGCCAGTGTCACAAATGAGGTATAAAAATATGATAATCTGACCATAATTAAATGCCTAAAACCTCTGAGCTTACTGGGGCTCAGCCCCCTGGACCCCACCAAGGTCCACCAAGGTTCCCCCCAATTGGTCCCCCCCCCCCCCCATTCCAAACTGCTTCCGGCGCACCTGCTCACTCCAATATGCACCTTGCAATCTTGCATTTTTGTATCGGTTTGCTTGTGCCATTTACATAACTGTATGAAGTGAGCATGATGCTTCCACCAAATAAAAAAAATTATTTCTTAATATATTTATCCACAATATGTCCAACCTATATGTCAGAAGTGTGTACTACAAATCACATTTTCTTTAAAGTAGATATTCATTGATTTTAAAAACTAACTTTATTTTCATTATTGCAAAGTTGAAACTTTGATTCGACAAAGTTATCAAAATTCAATGCTTGGAAACATTCGAAGTAATGATTATTATAAATTACAAAACGCTTAAATACAGCCCCGGCATAGCACCTGAAGAGCTCTCCGAACGCTGCTGAGATGTGTGAGATCACAGTATGGACATGACTTGCACAAGCAGACGATGTCCCATGACATCTCACACATTTTCAGTGCCTGTGTTTTCATCTTCTCTCGAGTTCTTTCTCTTACTTCACTACCGTCAGGCTAAATGTATAATCTATTGCCTCACTCTAAACCCCGCGCATGGGTTTGTAAACAAAATAAGACACCATTGTATATTCAGCTGCACACACCGAGGTATGTTCGGCGTTTCAAGAGGGAACAAATGCCGTCCTTAATATCATTCCGGGGGTTTTCAATTTGAAAGTCTGGTTTCTTTGATTGTTAATTAACCCCAATCCTGTCTATTTACAAGCAAAAGATTTTAGTTATCAGAATCAGGTCATATCCCCTTTTGAATGGTTTGACATGCCATCACATTTATATACACTAAACTCATTATAATTTTGAGAAATAATAGCTTTGCAATTATGTTCATTCTCGATGGGATGTCGTCTGCTTGGGCAGTGTTGGTCCATATAGTGACGTCATTAAAACATCGTTATTTTTCCGGCGAATCTCTCGTAGATCCCAGCTGCTATGGAGGTGGTTGTATTTTTATTTTTATAAATCACCCGATATGTAGTTGACCTAAAACTTGTACGATGGCCATCTGTTAGCTTACCAGTTTCTAGTGATACATTAGTTGAAATATTTGTGATCTTCTTTGAATTTCACCTTTAAATGTCAGTATACCTTAAGTACACCCCTTTCATTAGTGAACTTACAACATGAACATGTAGATGTGGGATTCATCCACAAACGTCATCTTCCTTCATGCGCGGTAACAGTTTAAAATATGGCTGCAAGAATTTCAACACGGAGTTCAATTTTGACGAAGAAAAGAGAAGTTATCGACTGTAATCGGCTTCACGCACGCCCGCACCCCTAGGCACTTCGTTGGTACGGTACGGACGGTGTATGCAATTGTATTGTAATTGTGCAACGGTTTGCCTTGAAGCCTGTGAGAAAGTGAATAGATGTCTTCGTTTTTAGGAAAAATAATCCCAAATAGATTTAAAAACTGACACGAAAGAGGTAAGAATATACATGTAACGACTTTAATTATATTACGACCATTATTTGAACAATTGATGAAGATTAAGTTGATTTTTTGGTATGTTTTAGTAGGGTATCTCCACGCCAGAGTTACGGGTCAAAAATGGATAGGAAAGTTAGTAGGCCTAGAGGGTCTAGATTGAAGTAGAACACTAGAATCTAGCGCAGAATTGTTTAAGATCATCCTTACAAAGTTTTAGGGGTTTGAAGTTTTGCCAAATCTATCAGGTGTTTTTATGCTGAATCAGCGACAATAACTAAACAAATAATAAAGAATATTTGACACACACCCCAAGAAGCTATTTTACAAGCCGTGCGCCAGTGATTCGGCGACATCGATAGCCGGACTCCTCAGCCAGGATAGGCCTAGGCCAGCCTGCTGTACTCGAAGCCAATCCGACCGCACCCCTTTCTACAATTGACCTGCAGCGCAGCTGGAATCTATTGTTATTCCTCGACTTAATTTTATCACAGAATAATTGGCCTCATTAAAACCACATTCATTAACTCAGATTACTTACAGCCTGGTTAGAACTCACTGTAGACATGTATACTACGACACCCGCCATTTTAAAGGAAGTTTAAGTCGAACAGGAATATAATGACAACACCAGGAACTAAAATATACGGAAGTACTGTATAAACTGCGCATGCATACTACTACTACTAGGAGTATAGAAAAAATAGTACTGTGTTAGCGTATAGCGCCAGCTGTTGTCCAGGTTGGCACAAAACCAAAACACATGAAAGAAAAGAAAAAAAATGAAGATCGAGAAGTGCAGCGAAAAGGTTTTTTTTTTTTTTTTTTTTTTTGGGGGAGGGGGGGGATATGTTTCGAGATTAAGTACTGTACCCCTACATCCCCTACAAACTAGGGGTTCAGTTTTTTTGTTCTGCTCAAGAGGGGGGGGGGTGATTTAAAAAAATTACAGATTCCATAACCCCCCGGCCCTCCCGCTGAGCAAAAAAAAAAAAAGTTGGGCCCCCTCCCCTAAGAAATCCTGGATCCGCGCCTGATCATATCTATAGCTCATATATTATCCGTTTGTTTACGGGTTTCGTTGGGACGCGCGGTATATACCGTGTGAGTCCCAAAAAAAGTTTACACCTAAAAAATTGATAATTATTTTAAAAATCATATATGAACAGTAGATTATTATACTTCTTATTAAAGAGTGTTTTTATCCCAAATCATTTTTGTGTTTACGCTTGGATCATTGGATGAACAAGAGGCATTGTTTGCGAGAGTGCAAAGATGATCGACTTGGCTATAATAGGCAACTACTGCATGACGGAGTGGAACTTTATTGAGACTCTCTGGCTTTAATCTTATTTCTACTTCGTTAGAAAAAATGGCATTACAATGACGTGCAGTATGTGAGGGAAAAAAGGAGGGGGGGCGGAGAGGAAGGGGTTAAAGGGGCGGGGCCAATGCGCCTTGTCTATAAACGAAGCTAAATTTTTAGACTGTTTTTTCTGTTGATTTTAGGGTCGAGTTGTATTATTAAGATGGATTTATAACCATATTACTTTCTGTCATCCACATTGCTCGTGATCTATTGTTACAAAAACAAAACGTATACTGCAATACTCTTGAAACTATACAGTATAGTTTCAAGAGTATTGCAGTATACATTTTGTTTTTGTTTGGGGTTTTTCGGGATGACTATACTTATTATGTAGGTAAGGCAAACTCGTACGACCTTTTTTTAAGGGGGGGGGCTGGTTCTTAGGGTTGTATACGAATAAGAGGGGGGGGTAGTGAGCACATTTTTTTTTTTTTTGATCCTCAAAAAAATTTCAATTTGCACCCCCCCCCCCCCTTGAGCGCCAGGGGGGGGGGGGGCCCAACCCCAAAAAAGGTAAAAATCACGTGATTTTACATGATTTTTTTTTCTCAAGGGGGGGGGCCGGGACCCCCGGCCCCCCGGGCCCCCCCCCCCCCCTGGATCCGCCACTGGATATGATCCTTGCTTTTTGTAAACTAGGCTACTAGGAGTATTATGCTTTCAAATGAAACAAAAATTACATTAATCTATATGCGTTTCACTAAGAAACATTGTTTTGAAAACGGCATGTCAAAATCCATTCGTGCAAGATTTATATGAAACGGCAAAAACGTCACACGCGGACATGATCGAATACGACCAAAAACTGACCAAAAAGAAACACAAACTTTAAATACGAATGAAAATGTAGTTTTTATGTTCTTCTTTTTATAACGACGGAAATATTAAGGCAATCTTCATGAATAACAGACATTTGATATATTGTCGATGATGAGCGGGGTAAATATTATGTACTTTATGAACAGTGATTTTTTGCAATCAGTGTTCAGAACTGCAACTTTTCAAAAGCGAATATGATTGAGAAAATATACATAATAGCAAGTGTAATTCATGAATAGCATGTTAAGGTCGATGGAGCACATCTCCCAGGCGATGTAAGTATATTGAGGATCAATAGTCAGAAATAAATATGTAACATCAATGCTCTCACTGAGGAGTTTTTTAGGTGCGATTCCATATTAAATTTATTCTTATAAAGCGAATATAATTGAGAAAATATACATAATACCAGCAAGTGCAATTTATGGAGCACATGCTAAGGTCGATGGAGCACATCTCCAAAGCGAATATACTACAATGATGGACATGAATCAGAAATAAACAAGTACGATATCAATGCTCTCTCTGAGGAGCTATTTGGGTGCGATTACAGATGAAATTTGTACATAAAGCGAATATAATTGAGAAAATTTATATATAATTAATAGCAACTGTAATTTATGGAGCACATGTGGAGGTCGATAGAGCACATCTGCAAGACGATTTAAGTATGACTGAGTATTAAGAGTCAGAAATAAATATGTAACATCAATGCTCTGAGGGGTTATTTGGGTGCGATTACAGATGAAATTTATACATATAAAGCAAATATAATTGAGAAAACTTACATAATATATTACCAAGTGTAATTTTTGGAGCACATAATGGAGGTCGATAGATCACATTTCCAAGGCGATGTAAGTATACTGATGATCAAGAGTCAGAAATAAATATTCAACATCAATGCTCTCTCTGTGGAGTTATTTCGGTACGATTACAGATGAAATCTATACATGTAAAGCGAATATAATTGAGAAAATATACATTAGCAAGTGCAATTGATGGAGCCAGGCGCGTACGCAGGGGGGGGGGGGGATTGGGGCTCGAACCCCCCCCCCCTCAATTTCTTTTTTTGTGTGTGTTTTTTTTTTTAAATTGTGCAAATGGGTGACCAAAAAAGGTGACCCTACCCCCCCCCCCCCCCCCCCAAACGGAACGAAATATCGATCGGCCGAATTTTCAAATTTATGGACAAAGTTTTTTTTTTAATGCCCCCCCCCCTCGCTTATTCAGCGGCTGCCTGAGTCGTTGCGAAATTTTCGGCTCGATTTTCAAATTTTAACCCCTCCCCCCCCCCCCCCCCTTCGAAAAAATCCTGCGTACGCGCCTGGATGGAGCATATGTTAAGGTCGATGGAGCACATCTCCAACATGAGTCAAACATTATGTAACATCAATTCTCTCTCTGAGGAGCTATTTGGGTGCGATTACAGATGAAATTTATACATATGAAGCGAATATAATTGAGAAAAATATACTTATGTTAGCAGTGAACAGCAGACATTCCGGTAATATTCCTTGCATTTTGATAATGGGGAAAAGTATGATCCTATGGGCACATAAGGCTGAAAATAAACTATCACAATTTTGCTCTCAGGATTTGGCACAATATATCATCAGTAATTTAGATGCACTATTTTCATTGCTTGGGGGCCTGCATATATATTATTGATTTTGGGGAAACCTGAGGTATACGCAGGGCGTCGCTAGACCTTTTTAAGTGGGGGGGGGGGGTGTAGAGGCCAACGATAAACGACAAAACTAGCGACCAATTACCGACAAAATTAAATGTCCAATATCTACAAATTTAACCCTATAACCCCGGGGCCGAAGGCTAAATTGTTTTTCCTATGGACTATCTATAGTACTTGCATATGCGCAAATGGTCATTTTCCTCGACGACATAAATATACGAATTATTTCGTCAACTTAGTCAGCATCATAGCTGATATATTTTAATGCAGGCGCGGAGCTAGGATCTTATTTTAGGGAGGGCGGTAGTGAGCAAGCGAATCACTTAAAGAGCGCTCATTAGGGGGTGTGGGTGATAGGCCTCTTAATTATTAGGAAAAGAAGACGATTTATTGTACCTTCTCGACTGTTAATCCTTGTCTAAATGAGTCCCCCCCCCCCCTCTCGCGCGAAAGCTTTGACGTTTCATTAAATTATTTTGAAAAGAAGACGATTTGCTGTACCATTCTCTACTGTTAATCCTTGTCTGTATTCAGTTTCTCCCCCTCCGGCGCAAAGCGCGAAGTTTTGGCGTTTCATAAAATTATTAGAGAAAGTAGACGATTCGTTGAACCGACAATATACATTCTCACCGACTTCAAACTTCTGCATTGATATAGTACACGAGGATCGAGCAAGAATACCGACACAGCTGACCCGACATAGCAACATATTTACCCGTGTCTTTCTTGCTCCCTCGACGAGACGACTCCACCTAACAACCCCCTTCTCTCTTTTACTCCCACTCCTCCTCTCTCAGGCTCTTACCTCTCCTCTCTCTCCTGTCTTTCACCCCCGTTTCTTTTGTTTCCCTTTCCCTTTTTTTCTTCTTGTTTTTCCCTTTTCTTTCTTTTCCTTTCTTTAATATCTCCTTCCTCTTTTTCTTTTTTCTCTTTCTTTCTTCTCTCTTTCTTTCCTTTCTTTTCCTTTCTTTCCTTTCTTTCCTTTCTCTTCCTTTCTTTCTTCTCTTTTCCTTTTCTTTTTTTCTTCTTTCCCTTTCTCTGTCTTTTTTTCCCTCCCCCTTTTCTCTTTTTTCCCGACGGCAGCGCAATTTTACCGACAATATCCTGACAGGTGGGGGTGTCGCACCCCCCACACCCCCCCCCCCCTTTGGCGACGCCCCTGGGTATACGCCCATGTCACCCGGCCTCCATAGCCACTTCGGGAACGGAGGGACTGCATGCACGTTCCCAAAATCTCCGATAAAGGGGTACTCGTAATACACAAAACAAAATCGGCCCGTATTGACTTTACACACCGGCAGGCACGTAGCCACGGGGGGGGGGGGGGGGGCAAGGGGGGGGGCACGTGCCCACCCCCCCCCCCCAAAAAAAAAAAAATCCAAGATCGGTTGAACTTTTTTAGACCCCTTTTTTTTTTTACCTCGATCGATTACATGTATGTGCCCCCCCCCCCCCCCAAACATCAAACTCTGGCTACGTGCCTACACACCGGACTTAGGGGGTGCTTTCAAAAGCTAGGGAGGTATGCATACGCATCGGAAATGAGTTTTCACCCTTATTTTTTTAAAAACTATGCTGTACCTATTTAAAATGCACATCCTTAGTTTATACTGTACCTATTCAAAATGCCGCATCCTCACAGAATGGAAATATTGCATATGATCATCGTTTAAGCTTACTTATGTCATGTTGACGGGCGATCGATGCTAACGTTAGAATACCAAGCTAATCAATTGCCCTTCGTTCAAGAATATTAAAGCCCACTGCGCTACTTATAGCTACTTGCGCCCTCTATATAACAAACAATGCCTAATCGGTGCCTGTTGGTCCCCGATGATCCTCTTTTTCTTATGGTAATTGAGAGTTGATTTGATGAGATAACCACCTGTCAGTGACCTTGCAGGGAGGTCTAATCCTCCCTGGCCAAACTAGTGCAGAAGGGCTTTAAGGTTCAAACAATGAAGAATATTTCAAACTCATTGAGGCAACTGCTTTTATACATTACCAAATCTTCCAAATGTCATTCGTGTTAAAAAGAGGCATAATTACCATGATGTGGTATGACAAGATGTTTTTGTTATCACACTCATCTCCCCAGAAACAAGAGCTTTTTTAGAGCCCCCTTAACATGTGCCCCTCATTCAAAGCGACTGAGAGCATTTTTCCCCCTTCTATATTGCACGGAATGACCAGAATGACAATATCATTTTGATTTGTGTATGTTGCCTTGTTGCTTGCTTGGGAATTTAAAAGGGACCTAAAAATTGATTTTTTTTTTTTTTCTTTTCTCTTTGCTTGTCAGTGAGTTTCAAATTGTGCCAGAGGCGGTGGAGCATAGTTCAAAGTGGGGGGGGGGGGGCATCCCCCCAAAAAAGGAGCACCTACAAAGGGTAACCCGAGTTAAACAAGAATGTCGAACAAAGGTCAAAGGGGTGTGATAAAAATAAGTTAGAGAAACATAGGGAACAAAAAGTTGACTGTCACCGGGGTGGAGATTATAAAGGTGCAATACGTGTCGCCACTATATACGAGGCAAAAATAATGACCACACTTCACCTTTTACCTCAATCTATTTTGTTTTTTAAATCAGTATCCATCAATCAATTTTAATCTCGCCCAATTAGGACTACATGTGATATTTTTTTTTCTCCATACATGTTTCTTTTTCGGTACCCAAATGATTAATCCTTCTCGCCTCATCTGATCGATTCATCACCGTGATTTTTCATATTTGGCCCCCTCCCCCATGACCGCTCAATTTTGCCTATCTTTTATCACTTTCATTTTGCACTTGACGCCACATACTTTTTTTAGACATTGCCCCCTCCCCCATTGAATTTAAATCAAGGCTCTCTTTTCTATAACTGAAATTTCAATCCATAGGTCCCATTATCCCTCCTCATGCTATCATTTTAGCACAGAAATAATTTCTAATTTCATTTGCCTCCCTCCCCTTTCTCCATTGTGGACCATGTTTGATATGGATGTGTATTTTGCCCTGCCTATACTGTCTTAGAATATTAAATTCCCCCTTTGGCCCCATGGGGCCTCAGTCTCAGAAACATTTTTTTTTTTTAATGGAAAAAAAAAAAAATCTCCATTTATACCTGGGGTGGTATTTTTAAAGATAAACTTTAGTACTGGTAATGCGATTGCATTGTGAAAGAAAAGGTGTGGAAAGGATCAGAAACAGTTGATCATGTAGCATGTAAGTAGTGCACTGCAAGGTTCTGGAGTCATCAAAGTCATAATAAATATGACCGAGTCTTGGTAAAGTAACAAGCACTCACATAGAAAGCTATATATGGGACAACACACATGGTGTCGGGGCTAGTACTACCTTGATTTCCTTGTCTTTCTATGCTCATTACTCAGCCAGTATACATTTTCTTCCAAAATTGTTTAACACATGTCAATTATTTGTAATCGTAAACATTCAGTGTGAGTTTCGTTTGATTCTGTGAGAATTATTAATTTTTTTTTACCAGTACTGGAGTTTATCTTTAAGCATGATTTTATATTCAAACTACATCATGAACATGTTCATGTATTTCATTTATCTGTAGAATATAATCTTTATTCTAAGAAATATCTATATCAGAATATAAATCTCAGATTACCACCCCAGAGCCTACATGAGGATAATTAATGTTTGAATTCTAAAATTCCAGTCCATATCTGCTCCAACTTCCAATTCTTCTCAATAATAAAACAACAAACAACAAAGCAAATGTTCAGTTTGTCTGTTTTATTGACATGGAAGACATCAAACTCATGTTGACATCAAACAATAAAACAGAACACAGTACAATCATTGTACCAACAACGACACATAATGTACATCAATTAGACATGTATTTATAGGACAAGTCTAGATAAATCTTCATGATTTACCTGTGATGAGGCTGAGCAACGATACAAAAACAAGCATTTTCAAATTCATACAGCGCCTTCATATTTCAACATCTACTGAAAATAGTGCTTTAGAGAGTCATTAGAAGGGGAGTATTCCAGTTAGTCAGTATATAGAGCCATGCACATGCTCACCGACTCACGCCATGATAATGTTCACATCTGACTGGATAGTAGGTACCCATTTCTAGACCTGGGTAAAGGGAAGCAATATTGATAGATTGCTCAACAGAAGGACACACAATTCATTACACTTTTGCTGGATAATGTGAATAACAAGCATCATTAGAATGTTCACAGGATGATTACAAAAGTCAACTTCTTTAGCATAATATGCGAAGTAAATAAAAAATGCATATATTGGCATACATGTGCCTAAACAAAGGCTACTAAATAAAAGCATTATATTGTGTCCAGTAAAAAAATTACACGGGGGATCAGGGCGAAATAGTCCCCTTAAATTTGCTTAGAGTTCAATGCAAAACAAATTTTAGAATGTTATTTTCATGCAGACAAGGTTGAAAAGTAGCCCCCAAAAATAGATATTCATTTTTTCCCTGATTGTGTCACCATACAATACATCGATCAGGATGTATAAATCATGAAATTAAATTTCAATTCAGATTTTTGACACGTCTAAGCACATCATTTGATCAAATTTTCTTCACAGACACCACTTTCATACTTTCGAGTCTTCATATACTTCTACAATCACAACTTTTTCCCCTGAAAGTCATGCAAAAGTTACATGTTGGACCGTGCCTTTCTAAATACTTATTTCACTCTGGTTTGGACAAAAATACCAATAGCCACACAGAGACGCTCCTTCCTTTTACATTTCAAGTTTGACTCAGATCCGGCCCAAAGCTACAAGGGTCCATATTTACAAAGAACATTAGCGCTAGTTGCTTTATATCACAATCTCGCTGTACAATATTTACATTGACAAACCATGTCAGACATAAGACTACATTCTATACTATACAATATACATAAATGTACAATGGGAAGACAAAATATTAAGCTCAAGATGTGCAAAAGGTGAACCTAAATTCCTTCTGTGCCTGAGTCAGAGTGGCACGTGGCGCCTGAAAGTGTCAAGTCAAGTGATATGTTTGGACTTGAAAGAGCCAAGTTTATTTTCTTGAAACAGACACAGGTACCTTCATTGTGTGTGGGCAATGCAATGACTTATTGACTCGATATGAACTTGATTTCCATGGGATATATACAATAAGGTATTGAAATTATTCTGGAGTTATTTTTTCCAAAGTCTTGCGATCGTGATTATTTATGGCAACTTTGTAACGACTTGATGTCACAGAAGGAGTAAGATGAGCATTGATTTTTCTCAAAAGTTCAGGTAAAATGGCAACGCTAATGATGATTAATAGTCGCTATCTTCATCCGAGAAGTTGTATTTTACAGTAGCTTTGGCACGACCGGCCCTTTCTCTCTTGGGAGGAGGAACTACGTCATCGCTACTGTCGTCATGGATACGGAATGATGCATCATCGTCGTCATCTGACCAATCAAGAGCCTTCTTCTTGGGCTTTGCTTTTGGCTGAAAACATACAGAAAACAACAGTGTTATAATCTGGTTAGTTACAACGGAATGATTTTATAGTTTGGATTATCTACAACATGGATCTAGGCAGGACCAAGGACAACTTTCACAAAGTCTTTTTTCAATGACTAATGACAAAACTCAGTGACAAATCTGATGATAACCAATCAGAAGCAAGAATTTCCCTAGCTTATAACAAAAACTGTCATTTGTCAATAATGACAAGTATCATGAAATGGGGCCCAGTACTTTTCTTTAATAGTTAACTCATTGAGATATGGGTGTAATACATGTAGTACAGAGATTACAATCCATTACTTCTCAGTATAATTTGTCTTCATAGTCTCACCTTTGCTGGTTTCTTTGCAGCAGTCTTTTTTTTGGGTTTGAAAGCATCATCTGAGTCTGAGGTAGTAGTTGAAGATTTCACAGCTGGAAACAATGCAGGAAAAGGAACTGTCATTACAAGCAAAACATCCCACTGGATCCCACTAGTACACTAAGGCCTAAACAAAGATGGTCAGTCAGTCAGAAATCTTTCTACCACCCCTGCCCCCCCCCCCCCCCCTCTTTGGGCTGAAATGTTTCAGTTTTGAATGCTTTTAAAAAAAAAATGATTAAACATTTTTTTCTCTAAAAAAAAAACGGTTAAAAGCCGACCACAGATATAAGATTTTGGGGTCGGTCACAAAGGGCAATACAACTTTTTTTTTAAGACTTAATCATCAGGTAACACATTAAACCAACATTTGGTCAGCCAGTAAGGCGCTCACTTCCACTATCTATCATTACAAAAATAATTCTATAACAATTTTTTTTTTGCCCCTGGGCAAACGCTAATATATAAACTATACAGTATAACAATATATAATAGAACAAATAAATTATACAAGTAACGAAATACGTTTGTAATAAAATAAGTTTATACAGTAAATTTAATTTTGAGAATGAGACAAAATATTTTAAATTGCTTGATTTAACCAAGAGGGAAAAAAAAAGGGTAATCTCAGAACAGCTAGACCATCATCAGCGTGCATCAAATCCTGCACATGTATATATTAAATCATTCACCAACTCACCTTTCTTTGCCGTCTTGGATGCTGCTGGCTTCTTCGCAGGGACTTCATCACTTTCATCATCCGATGATAACGCCATCTTCTTCCTCTTAGGGGCTACCTTCTTACCGAACAGGTCTGTGATGGATGGCTGCTTCTCATCTGCAAAGGAGATTGATTTTACACACAATTCAAACGTGACTACAGCTACATACAAAAATATGCCTCTTCCTACTGTCAACTACTTTTACATCATCTGAGCAGCAACGAACCAATTTGATTGGCCTTTTTGGGGCTCTCTGTTGATACCTATACTGGCTATTGTTACCAATCGCAGTTACATTTTTTTTTTTTAATTTAAAACAAATCTCTTGGGTATGTGGAAAGCAAAGCATAGCGAGTACAAGGTAATTCAAAGATAACAAAGTCCATCTGACCATAGAAGACTGTGGATTTGTACATTGTTAAAGATAAACTTGAGTTCTGGTAATGCGATTGCATTGTGAAAGAAAAGGTGTGGAATGGATCAGAAAAGTTGATCATATAGCATGTAAGTAATGGTGTGTAATGCAAGGTTCTGGAGTCATCAAAATCATCATAAATTTGGCAGAGTCTTGGTAAAGTAACAATTACTTACACAGAAAGATGTATATGGGACAACACACATGGTGTCGGGGCCAGTACTACTAAGATTTCCTTATCTTTCTATGCTCATTATACCAGCCAGTATACATTTTCTTCCAAAATTGTTTGGCACATGACATTTATTTGTAATCTTGAACATTCAGTGTAAGTTTTGTTAGATTCTGTGAGAATTCATTTTCTTTTTTTACCAGAACTCAAGCTTATCTTTAAACTGACAAAGTAAAAGACAGGTACAGTGTATGAGCAGTATCTCTGCTATACTGATTTAATTTACAAAAGTTTGTGGAAGCAGGATTCCACTCCAATAGCCCTCCCCCGGCCCTAAATAACGTCAATGGATAATGAAATGAAATATTGCACAAATACACACACATACCTGTACATGTATGTTGTTGACTTGCCCACTGTCTTCCTCTATTTCTCTTCCCCCCTCTATAATCTCTCCTTCTCTCTGCCATCCCCCCCCCCCCCCTCTCTCTCTCTCTTTTTATTTCTCTCTCTCTCTCTCTTCCTCCCTCCCTCCCCTTCTCTCTCTCTCTCTCTCTCTCTCTCTAATCTCTCCTCTCTGCCTTACCCACCCCCTCTCTTTCTCTCTCTCTTTCTCTCTCTCTTTCTCTCTTAACTTACCCTTCTTGGCCTTGGCCTTTGTAGCCTTTGCCTTAGGTTTTGCAGCAGGCTTGGGCACCATATCCTCATCGGAAACTAGAAGAAACGGCAAAAAAAGAAAGAAAAGAAGGACATGAAGCTTATAGGACGAGAGGAGAATGTGCATACATTGTGTGCGGTTAAGCCTGAATCCCACGACCGGGGTAATGTAAAGCGCTTAGACACATCGTTGATGTATTAAAGGGATCCGGTAACTTTGTCTCAGATTCTGAAACAAAATCCTGGATTTAGCTCATGCTGCAACGATAATTATAAACCTTTAGGTCAGTCAGGAACCCCATGACTTTTACAAGCCGATCGCCTGTCTGATTATCAAGATATTTATGATTGGAATTACAAATTTTGAAAACAGTTTGCCAAACGGTTTTCATAACACTACAGTCTACCGTATTGGGGAAAACGAGTATGGTATAACCGGTCACTCAAAGATTTGTACTTTTTTGAAGCACTTCGTAGTCATTTTGAAGAGCGATTTTTTTTTTAGGGCTTCAATATTACACCATATCACGGACACTGATAACACGTAGGTCCATGGCATCTCAGATTTAACATTGTTAAACGATGCCTTTAAGCGCTATATAAAAGCCGAATATTATTCTCCCTCGATACACTATGACACAAACATACCTTTCTTGGAGCTAGATGTGCTCTGTGTATCCATGGCATCATCATCCTCATCATCATTATCAGAAGCAATGACTGCCTTCTTGGCCTTCTTCCTGGCTGGAGGAGCGATGAAAGACCCGTCGACATCGTCGTCGCCGTCGTCCTCGTCGGCAAGGTCTTCCATCTTGATAGACTCGTCCGACATCTCACGTGGCATCGACATCTCGATGTCATCCTCCTCATCATCGTCGCTGAAGGCATATGTTATTTTGGCAGCTGCAGATCACAAATGAATATGATATCATTTCAACAAATTGCTAACAAGATAATGACTGATATGACACTGCATAGTGCACAGAAAGGATCAGATGCACGTTACATGTTAAAGCCCCACTGCACTACTTACAGCTACTTGCGCTCTCTATATAGCAAACAATGCCTAGTCGGTGCCTGTTGGTCCCCCATGATTCCCTTTTTCTTAAGTTAATCGAGAGCTGATTAGATGAGATTAACCCTTGTCAGTGACCTTGCAGGGAGGTCTAATCCCCTGGCCAAACTAGTACAGACGGGCTTTAAGAAGAAAAGAGGGCATGAAATATCAACATCCATGAGGGCAAAATATAACAACTCATTTGTTTCGGCAGAGTTTTATTCGATCTGATAGTGAAAAAATAAAAAATTCTTTATAGATATGAAATTTGATTTTTCTTACATGCCAATTTCCTTGGAACCTTTGTTTTCTGGATGATGGGCGAGTCGTCGTCATCTGATTCAGAGCCTGACCAAGGGTTGGAAGATTTCTTGGCGACCTTCTTGGCGACCTTCTTGACCGGCTTGAGGGTCAACGTTGATTGCTTCTTGACCTTGGTGACCCCATCATCACCTTGGGTTGGAAGGGAGAGAGAGAGAGAGGGGGTGAGAATGGAAAAGAGAGAGAGAGAGCATGACGAAAAGAGAGAAAGAGAGGAATTATAATATCAAGTTACCATACTGGGAAAAAAATATAAGTGACTTTGATATATCAAGAAAATGGCATACATTATGGGTTTCATAAAAACTCCAAATTAAAATTCCAACAATAATTACTGCAGATTACAAACACCAAACCAACCTTTGTGACAACCAGTGCACATTGTTATGCCACCTTCTTTTATTTATCTTCAAACATGAATTTGAAATTCAAGATTTTTTGAAAGAATTATCAGGAAAAAAAATTCTTATAATAATTTTTGGGGCCTGTATAAATGGGAGTAAAACTGTAGGAGGGCTCGAAAATGCAGCACAGAAGTTTTTTCAAATATGCATAAAAAAGACACATTTAACCGGGGAAAGGCAATTACTTTTTACAACTCACCTGACTTAGCTTTAGCCAGTCTCTCAGCCAATGAGAGTGGTTCTCTCTCCTCTTCGGGTATCTCTGGTTCGGTTTTGATTTCTTTCTTGATTTCTTTGACTTTCTCTTCTCCAGACTCGGTCTTCACCTTCTGTTGGGTCACAAACAAGATGGCAACATTTTATTAAAAAATGTGCTATTACGGATAAATGGAGTGCTGGTTGGGGGTTATGAGGGAGATGTGCATACAAACTGATGCTATCATTGTTGCTTGCAATTATGTCTCTTTCAACTTAATGCAAATGCAGCTGGCTTTGCGCAGACTTTAACCAATTAATTTCTTATGACAATCAACATCGTTTCATTAACATAAATGATAACATCCCTTTCAGAATACAGTCAAACCTGCTTTAGTGACCACCTGTATAAAAAGACAACCTGTCTACAAAGACCACATTTTTTGTTTCCCTTGAAAATGGTTTCTAATTGAAACATTTACTAAAGGAACCTGTACATAAAGCCCACCTGCCTATAAAGACCACTTTTCTTGTCTCCCTTGGGTGGTCTTTATAGACAGGTTTCACTGTACCACCCCTGAAAGAGTTCCTTACCTTTACTCTCTTCCTCTCCACCTCAGCAGCCTTCCTCATTGCTGGATCGATGCGAGGGACAACACGGCGTCCCATGGGGGAGGGTCTGGTCTCTTCCTTGGTGAGTAGCTTCTGTTTACGGGGTTTTGCCTTGCCCTTGGCTCCCTTGGCCGCTGCCATGACGACGCCCGACGATGCATCCTCTTTCTCCTGGGCCTCAACGCGCTGTGGAGAAATCACACATTGGCTTGACATTAACATTTAATGGAAAAAATAGAATGGAGACTCGCTTTAGTGCTGTATCTAAAAGGCAAACTATCCAAAAACTAACCATCTATTGTAGTGGTAGAAATAATAACAATAATAGCTACATTTATATTGTGCACATACTGTCAGTCAAAACCATTCATGATTCCTTAGGTTGAATTCACTGTTTTGCCCTTTTTGTGTGTGCCAAATTGCTACTTTTTAATTTTTTTTACTGCGAATACATGCCATGGGATAGTGCTTCCACATATAACCTTTGCAACTAGCTCTGAACTGCAATCTGTTTGGATTGTATCAGCTACTACTTATAACAATGGTGGCTTCTTATCAAATGTGATGCTCATTTAACAGATACAATTCGTCCTTGTTTTCACGAAGTGACGGTAGTGAGGAAAATCGTAACGCAAAGTGAATGCAATTTTTTTTCACTACCGTCACTTCGTGAAAACAGCGACGAATTAATGTAGCTATAACATTTTAAAAAAAATTAATAATGAAAAGGGTACATTTGGGATTATCTTAGGTACAAGGAATATTCAATATTGAGTACAGAACACATTAAATTCAGCTTTAATAGTGTGATAAACTTTAAAGATTAAGATTAATTCCAGTTTAATGAGACTCACATCCAGCTCAGCTGAGAACATATCTAGATCCTCGACCCACAGCATGGTGGCAGTCTTGCCCTTCAAGATCTCGAGCTCACGGGCCTGAAGGAAGACGATAATGAAAATGAAAATGAAAACGAGACATTAATGACATATTACAGGACCATTCATTGTAGAAAAAAAGAGGCATAGTATGGGGACAACCAAATATGAGCAAGCTAATTGTAATTTAGTTCAATCCTGTATGCGAGCTCACAAAATTCTTCAAAATTCGGCATTAAAAAAAAAGCCTTTAGTTTTGACAAAATATTGTAATGGACCCTTTATGACATGTGAGTGCTTTTTTTTTTTTTGTAAAAGATCTTGATACTTTTAGTTAAGACAGTATATTAAATCAATATCATTACTCCTGATAATGGATAGTCAACCTGTTCGAGCCACTCCTACTACCCATCCTCTTTAACCGGCGCTATAGTTCGCTTTAGAACTATAAGCTAAGAAAAATACCCAGCAGTCTTTTTCAAGATTACCGACGGTCCATTTTAGGACTCCTCAATCCCCCCCCCCCCCCCCCTCTCTCACATGGTGCAACCGCAGGCCTACTGTATATCTACATCATCCAATATCATCTTCTTTTGGGTTGTTCTATCATTTTTTTAACTCTTTGTCATCCATGAATTGCTACCTTATCATCCCTGTTCTTGAGGAGGGCATCCTTCTTCTCCTTGGTCAGACTCCAGAGGGCCATACCCAGGAGGTAGTTGTAGTCCGGTCCTGAATCAGGCGTGGCCTCCGCTGCTTCCTCGTCCTCGGTGTCCTCCCCGCCCGCCGGCTGCTCCCCAGCCTTCACCTGGCTCTCCTTCCAGGCCTTGACAGGGTCAGAGTCAAAGCCACGCTTCACAAGGATCTGGATCATCTCCTTCTTAGGCATATTCTCTGTAGGTGAAGATATAAGAAATCAGTACCTCATGGATCATCATTTTATTTGCCATGTTCTATGTTATCAAAGGTATTAAAAGTGAAAGTGAAAAGGGGAAACGAGTTTCATCTGGTCCAAGTCTAAGCCTGCACAAGGACTTGGATCATCCCCTTCTTAGGCATATTCTCTGTTTAATAGCAAAGACATAAGAAATAGTGAAGGGAGGGGGATTCTAGAAATGAGACCAAGTCTGCTCTTGTACTTCTCTTCCTAGAAATACCTCAAGCTTTGAACAAAAAAAAGAAATTTGTTGTAACTCAGAGCGAAGCACAAAAATAAGTCACAAGTATGTACACAGTTACAGCTACGTACAAGAATCGGTGATCTAATTCTAGCTTATTATGATGCAAACGAAGAAAAAATAAACATTACTGGGTCACGTCTTACAAAGAGTTATGATTGATCCAAATCAAACGCAAGTTAGCAGTCTTCTATCTCTTGATTGATTGATTGATTTTATTTCATTTCATAAAACAATTGTTTGCACAATAAAGAACATAGTTGACAAAGTAAGCTCAAAATTATGAAATGAAACAGGAACCTACTGGAAAGCATAGCTTGCTTTTGTAGGTTCTCAAGAATATGTACATAGTTGTGATTGATATCAACTCTTTGTAAGACAGGGCCTAGGGGGTTATTGTCATCAGTGGCAAATGACAGTTTTTGTTATAAGCTACTGAAATCCTTGCTTCTGATTGGTCATCAGCAGATTTGTAACTGCTTTTTGTCATTTGTCATTGAGAAAAGGCTTTGTGAAATGGGACCCTGGACAACGCTTACCGATCTTGATCTTTCCTTCGATCTTCTCCATGATGAATCTTGCCTGGTTGTTTAGTCTTGAGGACTCTGCCTCTAGGATCCCCTCGAGGTATGCCTTGCGTGAGTGATAGAGCTCCACGCGCAAGGCAAAGAACTCTCTCAAGATCTCCTCCACGTTGTCATATCGACGGATCACCCCATTGCTGTCATACAGAACCTGGTAATTAAAACAAGAAGGAATACAGTCATTAGAGCATCATTGCAATTACCCATCGCAGATTCATTATATTTCTAATGTAGTTTCTTTTATTATATACATTTATAAGTTATGTAAGCATTGGAGTGACTGGACTCCTCTTTAGCAATTGAAAAAAAAATGGGAGATCTGGGATAAAAATTTAAAGGTCGGTGTGCACAGGACACCAATTTGTATCCAGCCCTTACTAAATCCTACTCCAGAGATGCCAACCTCTTGACACAAACAAAAAACAGACTGAATTGTCGTAAAAAATAAGATTTTCAAGAAAACTTGAAACTACCACAGTATGTTCGTTGGCCCGGGCCAGTAAAATGTCAGAAAAAATGTTTTACTGGTAAAAACGGTGAAGTAAAATGTATCTGTATCTGTATCTGTTTGTGACGTACAATCACCAGTAATTGGTTGTCGCGTACGTAGGTTGGTGACCTTTTTCATTAACATTTAATGATAAAATTGTAAAGCAAAGTTTTTGTCCGGTTTGCAGGAGTTTACTTGTACATGTTTCTATGCAATTCTGCGGTTTTTATGGTTTTTTTTAAACCTTTAAAAAATCTTTCCTTTCTTTTCATTTTTTAAATATCGTATTATCGTATTTCACTGTTATTATGGTACTGGCTGGCATCTTTGCTACTCTTCCTGTTGAGAATCCCAACCAAGACAAATCCTTACCATGACGTTTGCCTGACTGATGGTGGACTGGAGTTTGAAGGTCTTGTGAAGACCTTGCTCCTCTGCCTTCAGAAGCTTATCCTCACTCATCTTGATCACAAACTTCACAGTCGTATCTGTGTGGTACTCCTTGTAGTCCCTGCAATGTGAAAATATGTAGGGTTAACAGACAATTTAGATGGAAATTATTTTTGCTACTAAGGTCTACTGGGCCCAGTTTCGTAAAGCTTGTTATCAACAAGTGCCACATTTCTATAATAAATTTGCTGTCAGCCAATCAAATGCAACTATTTCAGTAGCTTATGAATACACCTCTTGCAATTTGTTATTGATAACAGGTTTTATGTAACAGGACCCTGGTCTGTCTGAATGATATTATATTTACAAAGACGATTGCTTTCAAGGATACAGCTTCTGAATTTCTCAAAACAACACACAGGTAAAAGTGGGTTCCCCATTTGCCAGAGAACTACAGAGTACGTATTAATTTGGACGCTCGTCTATGATATTGGAGCGCTAGGAGCATCATGGCATGACAGACATGTGCAGTACATGTATATAAGATTCTGATAATTCAATAAAAATGAGACAAATATTTTTAAATCAAATAAAAACTTTAAAACACGGCAACGACCATGGCCCTGTCTTACAACAAAGATTTGCAATTGATCTAAATCAAATCGCAAGTTTGCAGTCTCCTATCTCTTATGTACATAGATTGATATTAACTCCTTGTAAGACGGGGGCCATATCAGTAAAAACACAAGAGTACTAACGTGATCATGGGTTGAACTTTCTCAGACCCGTGCAGCATGGGTTCCAGGACCTGCTCCTTGTAGACCTGGGTCCAGGTCCTGACGGGTAGCTCGGTGATCTCGATGGTGTCGTTGTCGATGATGGAGATCTCGCCGCTGACCACGAAGCGGTTTGGCTCCAGCTCCTCGATAGTTCCTTTGAAGCCCTTGTACGATGGAATCTGGAACGCAAGAAAAAGAGTCATTAATATGGTGGAACTAATGTATTAAGATTGTAAGAAACAAGCAAGCAGTTCATAAATAGATGTTTTTTATAGGACGTTCATTTAAAGGTATAGACCAGTTCTGGTCATGCGATTGCATTGTGAAAGAAACGTTGTGGAATCTGATCAACTAGCATATCAGTATTGGTGTGTACTGCAAGGTTCTGGAATCATCAATATGATAAGAAATTTGGCCCAGTCTTGTTAAAGTTACAAGCACTGTACACAGAAAGATGTATATGGGACTACGCGATATCTATCCAGGTCAAAATGATATGATACTTTACCAAATATATCAATTAGTAGGCGGTTTCCCGGCAAAATTTGTATCGTCACTTATTAGTCAAAACATATTCTTTCACATGAATGGTAATAAAAGCTTCCATTTTTTAGAGGGGGGCGTTTCCAAAACTAGTCTTTACCTTTAAAATGGTGGTGGATTAAGACCATTCAAGAGAAACAAGCAAGCAGTTTATAAGCAGATGGTGTTTTATAGGCAAGTTCATTGAATATAGGTTTCAGACATAAACAGTGGTCTCTGAGGCAGGTTTGATATTCATACTAAATAAACAATACATGAATAAATGCATAAAAACAATGAGAGACTGTTTTTATCAGAGGTCCATTGGTCAATGTCTTCATCACAATAAATAATAACAATTAATCTCAAGGTCATACAAGGTCGCTGAGGCAGGTTTGATAATCATACTAAATAAACAATACACAAATAAATGCATTAAAAAACAATGAGAGACTGTTTTTATCAGAGGTCCATTGGTCAATGTCTTCATCACAATAAATAATAACAATTAATCTCAAGGTCATACAAGGTCGCTGAGGCAGGTTTGATAATCATACTAAATAAACAATACACAAATAAATGCATTAAAAACAATGAGAGACTGTTTTTATCAGATGGTCCATGCCTTCATCACAATAACTAATAACAATTAATCTCAAGACCATACCATTGGAACAGGTTCCTCTCCTGCTACCAGCCTGCGGATGTTGGCCGTCACCTCCCGGACGTCATAGTTACTGATCTTGGTGCTCCAGCCGGTACCGATACCCTCGCTGCCATTGACCAGCACCATGGGAATGATGGGTATGTAGGTCTCGGGCTCGATGCGCTGGTTGTCGTCGTACTGGTAGGCAAGGAGGTTGTCGTCATGGGCGGGGAAGAGGAGACGAGACAGGGTGCTGCACAGGAAGGGAGGGACACAAAATGTGGTTAAGTTGTAAAATGTAAAAGACATAGCAGACACATAATATTGGGGGTTGTAGTGACCAAATGTCATGATTTTAAACTTTTATATGTATAATAACTTTTTATGCATTGATTTGTACATGTTTAATATGAATTGCTTTACTTTTTCCAAGATGGCGGTTAGGGAGAATTAATTTCCCTTGCGTAGATCCGCTGTCTGGCTTTTCAGACATGTCCCAACCGGTTCTGTCTGGCTTGTTAATATATTCTATTGTTATTGATCGTGAAGTTTAAAAAGTACGACTCCCGTCAGGGGAGTTCTACAGGGTGATTGGAATCATGAGGAGGAAGATAATGAGAGAGAATGATGCTGATATTGAGGATGATGGTGTTGGTGGTGATGCTGACAGTGATGTAGACTTGCCAACCTCTGGAGGTCAAAAACTGTAGTCTTTAGTCCCAAAAGTTGTATTTAAAAGAAAAACACGGATCAATGCCTCTTACAGTTCCTACATACAGGAAGAAACATACACTGACTTCATAATCAAAGAACTAGTTCTTTTCTGGCTTGTTAATATATTCTATTGTTATGTAGATTTGTCACTGTTATGTACAGCGCGTATACATGTATATTAATTTTGTGTGCTTGTTTAAACCAATCGCACTACACCAGCGATTGGGGCTTTTTCAGATATTTCCATGTGGAAATCAGAGGGAATATTTTTATCGGCACACACAGGTCGATACTGTGTTTTTGTTTATTGTGCCGGTCGAATTTTCGTCCAACATGGACTCGACGAATTCATCCCCGGACCTCTCCTGGGTGACACATTTGTGGAGAGATTTGAATCGCTTTTGCTAGCATATTCTTGGATCTGTTTTTTCCACCGACACCGTCGCCATCATCAGCATCGTCATCGCCTGACCTCGGTAATGCTGATTTGGTTTGATCGTTTATTTTCATTGAACGCTTTGCTGAACTAATTAAAGATCCTTCTTATATTTGATTTTTGATGATTGACATTTGTTGTTTTTGATAAATTGTGATTGTGTATGTCAGAAACAGACTATGATAAAGTAATGGAGAGTTCCACATAGCGCCTAATAAAACAAATGTCCTTAAAACATTGTACCTAAATCAAGGAAAGGATAATACCACTTATTTTTATGATGACTTAGCTACATGTAGCAATGCTTACAATGTGAATAGCGATTGTGGACTTTCTTTATTTTTTTGTTTGAAATCAACACTAAAATACTGAAATTATTGGCAACCCTGGTCCATTTAGACTTCCTTCTTTTAATTTGAACTTCTCATATACCTTGCATGTCTTTTCTTTGCTATTCCCACCCTCATGTAGACATATACCTATATTGTAGAGCATATCATGGCGCGGATGAAATTCAAAGCTCAGGTTTGTGATTTTTATTTTGAACGTAATCTAATTATTGTTTTTGATGCTTGAATATATTTTGTTGTATTCAATTTTGAACGTGACGGAGATTATCCCTCCCGAGGTTGTTCCCTCAAGACGATTCCGGTTACTATGATCATTATTATTTGTATGTTAATTATTTGCCGTCTGAGGGCGTTTTTCCACCCGGAGATATATACATGTATGATTAGTATGTGTACACGACCGACTATACAAGTCCTGGATGATTTGTGCTGATTATCTTTAATAAATCCTTGTTATTAATTATATCACCTGATTGTTTGATAGTGCAGTTTATTCCTCGCGAGATCGTGAAGTTTAAAAAGTACGACTCCCGTCAGGGAATTTCTACAGGGTGATTGGAATCATGAGGAGGAAGATAATGAGAATGATGCTGATATTGAGGATGATGGTGTTGGTGGTGATGCTGACAGTGATGCAGACCTGCCAACCTCTGGAGTTCAAAAACTGTAGTCTTTAGTCCCAAAAGTTGTATTTAAAAAAAAAAAACACGGATCAATGCCTCTTACAGTTCCTACATACAAAATTTTTGTATGGATCATTGGTTGAATATGCATGATTTCGTTATCATGACTGGTGTGTTTGATGTTTCAATCTTTTAGATGTACCTGCATAACAAGGACACTGACTTCATAAACAAGGAACTAGTTATTTTCTCCAATGCTGACAACGAGAGAGAAATAAGATACCGAGAGAGACATTCAATCACGACTTAGGATAGACGAGTAAATGCTCAAGACTGTTTGCCTACCTGAGCTGAGTGAAGATATAACGAGCACTGGCAGCGTCCTTGCCTCCGTGAAGACGGGTACCGAACTGACCGATGGGCTGCAGGAGATTCACGTTGTTGCTTCCAACAAAGTTCTGCGCCAAATTGACGATGGTGCTCATCAAGGATGTCTGGAGAAGAGAAAATATTTTGAGAGGTTCAATAGTCAAGAGGTCTAACGATAGGAATGGCTAGGATTGTCAGGCCATCAAAGGTGAAGATGGCTGCCTAGTTACTACACAAAGGCAAAGGAAAAGACTAGTGTGACAAGCATAGGTACATTTTTCAAATAAGAGATATTACAGAGTTATTCAATTAAACAAAATTAATGGGCCCTGTCTTTAGGAGATGTATAATTGGTCCAGATTGATCACAAGTACTCCCATCAATCGCAAACTTACAAACTCCTGTATTTTCAGTACAGTTGTAATTAGTTGCGTTTGACATCGAGTTGTGATTATTCTGAATCAATCACAACTGAAGTAATTACATAACTTTACCCAAAGCTGCCGACCATTACGTTTTTCCTGGAATTATTCAGTTTTTTTTTCCTCAAAATTACGGTAGTACGTTTTTGTTTTGTTTCAAGGAATGAGTACTTACTTCACCGTGGTGGTAGGCCGAGAGCTCAGCCACAGCACCAGCCATCTGAGCCACCTTGATCTCTTTCTTCTCGTACTTCTTGAAGCATGTGTACAGCACCTTACGCTGACCAGGCTTCAAACCTACATGGATGAAACAAATGACAAATTCAAACAAAAGCGATACCAGTTGGTTTCACAAAGTAAGCTTGAAAAGAAATCCAACATCACAAAGCGGAGACGTGGCAGGGTCTGAAATCGGGCTATGGCGGGAAAACCGGCAACCCTGAAACAATTGTGGTATGAACAAAAAAAGGCCTCCTTGAATAAACAAACAGCTTCAAGATTTCATCTGCAGTGAGAATTTAGCCCCAGTAGATAAAATTAATAAACATATCATCACATCCTACATAAATTAGCCACCTATACTTAAAAACTTTTTATAGCTCTTGATCTACTGATAATTTGCAATTTAGATGACATCATTGTACAGTACATGTACAGGGAGAGGTCATGGGGGGGGGGGGGGGTACTCTACCAAGAGCAATTGTCAATGCAGGGGGGGGGGGTCACAAAGATCCTAAGTTGAACTTAAAGTTGAAGTTGAGTTCTGGTCATGCGATTGCATTGTGAAAGAAACGGTGTGGAATCGACCAGAAAAGGTTGATCATCTAGCATATAAGAATTTGTGTACATTGCAAGGTTCTGGAATCATCAAAATGATAAGAAATTTGGCCAAGTCTTGGTAAAGTTACAATCATTGTACACAGAAAGATGTTTATGGGACTACATGAACACGTGGCGTAAAAATCCTACCCCCGAGTTTTACAATGTTACATGACATATTTAGAATATGAAGGCATTTGAAGAGCCATGCTTTTCAGGGAACATGTCTTATCTGATGTTCTTCCACACTTGGATTTGAAATAAGAATGAGTAACGCTCACAAATTATCTTTCACCTCTTCCCAGAACTCAACCTTCTCTTTAACTTTAAGTTGGACTAAACAATTATGGAAAGCCGTTAACATCTATGAAAATATTTTGTAAAAGTTATTTTAAAAGGCATAAAATGTTGATTCAATCATTCATATTTTCTATTATCAAGGAGATTTCATGTTCTTGATATGGAATTTTTAAAAAGTCTAAAATACTTGAATTTTCGCTTTTGAATATATTTTATTTTTAGACTACAAATGGTTCTCCATAATTAAGTCCAACTTAAGTTAAGTTCGACTTAAGATCTTTGTGAAACACCCCCCTGGGGTTAAAAATGAGACTCACCGTCGGCCATGGATGGGATAGATCTCTCGTTGTCAGCGTTTGAGAAGAGAACGAGTTCTTTATTAATGAAGTCAGTGTATGTGATGACCTTGGTATCCTTGTTATACAGATACATCTGAAAGGTTTGAAAGGAAATAAAGCAGAATGCATGAAAATAGGATTTCATACCACTGGAACAGATTTTTTTCTGTTGGTCATATTTAGAGCATGTTGTGTATAAAAGGGTAGTACTACTCAGTACTGGTATGTCATTTTACATAGGGGCCTGTTGACTGGAGGACCACATATTGGATAGTTAGTACTTTTCATATTCAACTCTGACAGGAAGGATTGTGATACAGGAACCAGTATTAACCTGTTACACATTCATATATCATCGTTTTGGCATGTCAGAAAGATGTTTATTTGCCATCATATATCAATTTTTAGATCTGTTGGTGGATATTATATTGTGTATAGTGTATTGGTTTTCTATACACTTGAGTAGTTATGCCATTTTATAAGACGGGTTCTAGAATGTAAGCAATACGCTTGGTCAATTGACAATTTGACATCACAAGGGCGTGCATTATTTTTTCCCACCATGCAAAACATCTGTTTTGTTAGCTTTCAAAAAAATGTTGATGATTTTTCATTGCACATGAATGCAGCAGGTTTTTATCACAGAGAGATGTAATTACCTCTCCAAGACCAGCATCCTTTCTTGCATTCCTCTCCTTCAAGAATTCAGTCAGCCACGTCTTACGATCCTCAACCTTCTTCTTGCTAAAAGCCTGCAGGGACAAATAAATATAAGCAAACAAATACAATGAGACTCAGTTCAGTTCAGTCACAAAAAAGAAATGAATGACTTTTTCATGACTATGGTCGGTGGCACATAAACTTTAGCAAGGCATTTTCAGGTAAGCCATTGATTCCTGTTATAAAAGCTCTGAATTCAAAGGATCCAATTAAAGGTACTATGTCCCATTTTTTAGCCAATTAATACATTTTTTTCATGAAGGCCGCCATGCTAAATAAGGCTGGCCAAGACATATTCATTCACAGATATTGTGCTATTTGAGTATACTGGGCCCCGTCTTACAAAGAGTTACGATTGATCCAAATCACTCGCAAGTCCTTCAATCAATCTCAAGTTTGCAGTCTCCTATCTCTTATGTACAGTTGCAATTGATATCAATCGCAAATAAGTTGCGATTGATATCAACTCTTTGTAAGACGGGGCCCTGATGTAATGTACATGTATGACTAAGAAATTGATTTGTATCATTCTAGTCCACTTGCTAAGCAAGTTCAAATCTCAGAAACAGTGAAAAATGTACATGTCTTCATCTTGTTTTAGCTATAGAAGCTTTTTATACAAAATGTACATCATAGCCTTTGTTTCTGTATAGTAAATAGTAAACAAAAAGGGGCGGGCAAGGACAAGAAACTTGTAAGTTTTGATACTTGGCCTATCTGTGTCTTTACTTTATTAAGCACAAGTTGTACTATTAGATATCTGAGGGCATGTCTAAAATTTTCACTTAGGCCTTTAATAGATTCAATGAATTAGCATAAAATAGTTACCAAGACGATGGCGTCATCATCCTCAGGGCCCCCGTACTTGAACGGGATCCTGTGACGAGCCATGTCGGTGAAGTACTCCTTGGCTTCCTTCATGGTGCTGGTACCCAAACCTACAAGGTCAAAGTTCAAAGGTCAATAATCTTGATTCAAAGGCCAAAAACAATCAAACTTCTTTAAATGTCATTCAAGCGTTCATTGAGTTTGAGTTTGAGTTTATTGATTTCACGTTTCATTTGTTTCAATAAGTTTCTTGCTAGTCCATTATCTTGTCTACTGACAGCAAAGACATACAAACTTACAGACAAAGAGATAAGACAGACAGGAAAAATGTAGATATTCAAGAAATCTAATATTTAAAAAAACTAGATGGAATTCGACTGCGCGCAGTCGAAAATGATGCCTCCGTCATAGAGCAATTTTACAAACCAAACAGAAGAAATTTTTCAAATTCAAGTTCAATTGTAATCCATTAACAGGTTCTCAGAATATCGTGATTACAAACAATTTCTCATATACATATATGACCCTTTGAACTTTGACCTCATGATCCTAATATCTACTCAGCTCATTGGCTCTGCAAGATATCCAGAGTTAAATAGTAATCCATCTGTCAGTTCTAATGAGAATGCGTTCACAAGCTATTTTTGCATACATAATGAGCCCATGACCTTGGACCTTATGAACCAAGAATCTACACAGTTCATTGGCTCTGCAAGATACATAAATGATCTAAGTTTGGCAGGAATCCATCAATCTGTTCTAATGATAACGCGATCACAAGCTGTTTTTGCATACATAATGGGCGCTGTAACCTTTGACCTTTGACCTCGTTACCCAAAATCTAATAAGTTCATCGGCTCTGCAAGTAACATACATGACCTAAGTTTGGCAGGAATCCATCAATCGGTTCTTGAGATAACGCGATCACAAGCTGTTTTTGCATACATAATGAGCCCTGTGACCTTTGACCTTTGACCTCGTGACCCCAAAATCTAATCAGTTCATTGGCTCTGCAAGATACATACATGACCAAAGTTTGGCAGGAATCCATCTATCGGTTCTTCAGATAACGCGATCACGAGCCGTTTTGCATACATAATGAGCCCTGTGACCTTTGACCTTTGACCTCGTGACCCCAAAATCTAATCAGTTCATCGACTCTACAAGATACATACATGACCAAAGTTTGGCAGGAATCCATCCATCGGTTCTTCAGATAACGCGATCACGAGCTGTTTTTGCATACATAATGAGCCCTGTGACCTTTGACCTTTGACCTCGTGACCCCAAAATCTAATCAGTTCATCGACTTTGCTAGATACATATATGACCAAAGTTTGGTAGGAATCCATTGATCCGTTCTTCAGATAACGTGATCACGAGAACGGGACGTACGTACAGACGTACGTACAGACGTACGGACGGACGGACGGACGGACAACCCGAAAACATAATGCCTCCGGCTACTTCGTAACGGAGGCATAAAAAGTACCTTTGTAGTACTTGACCTTCCATGCTTTAGACCCTTCCGTCTCGTCTTTCCACTCTTCAAACTCAGGTAGAGAGTAGAATGGGTGGGTTTCCTTGCCCTTGGTAACCTACACACCAACATAACACATGAAATGTCAACAAATAAGCGATGATAAGTTCAATATTGTATAGAAACATTTGGCAACTATAAATGTACCTGAACATGCACAAGCGTAACATCTTGATCTCTGTGTGATGGTCTGAAATTATATTAAATTCCAAAGCAGGTATTGAATATTAAAAAATATATATATGCTCAATTATTCTTGAAGCTTGACTGAATAGAACTGTGCACCCTGTGCATACATATATTATGTAAAAGTTGCTTTAGTTATTTTGTTTTCTTACATGATTTTGAATTTAACCTTTTACTAGCTTTAGTTTACTTATGGAACAAGCAATGACCTGCCACGGTTAACTTTCTTCACATACGACAGTGTACATGTATGATATACTTCAAACAATGTGGCAGTCTCCAGATTTGATCCATGGCAAATATAATACACAGCCATTAGCTCGTTACGGTCGACTACAACAAAGAACGGCCGTTGCCTCCACATCAGGGTCTTTCGGATGGTGACGTTAGAGGTCGGTCCCCATACGTAAATAATCATATCTGATTGATACACGTTTGCAAAAAACCAAATTACACACACACATTCACACACACACTCCGCACCAAGATGCGTTACCTTGACGATGGGGGTGATGAACTCCTCCAGGAAGTTGTGATGGAGGAGATTGGGCCAGTTGTGCTGGATGAAGTTGATGAGAAGTCCCTTGATGTGGGAGCCGTCCTGATCCTGATCTGTCATGATCATCAGTTTGCCGTAGCGCAGGGTCTTCAGGGAGTCGGGAGTCTCGTACTTGTTCTTGTACTGGAGACCCAAGATCTTGATGACGTTGTTGATCTCTACATTCTCCATGATCTGTAGAACAACAATGTTGAAATGAAAATGCTATATTCTTTCTCCGCTTTTTAGGTGAGGAAATTTCATTCTTGTTAATTGTACTGGAGGCCCAAGATCTTGATGATGTTGATCTTTGCAGTTTCAATGATTGGTTCAATTACATATAAACAAAGAGTAATACACTACAAGATCTGTTGTAGTTTTAATGTCATTTAATGGTATACGATAAACGGCTGTGATCAGAAAGATAACAATTCGCACAGTTGATTTTTGTGTCATTTTAAAGTAAGCATTTGGAAATAACTTGATTGACTTTTGAGTACACATACACAGACAATCATATATGGAATCACCTTAACCCTATTTAGCCCGGGGGGGGCTTGAGAAGCCCCCCCCTCGACATTTTTCGCGATAATTTTTTAACGCAAGAAAATCTTGCACTGAAACTTTGTGACTTTTTTCTTTCGAGTCTTGCGCAACTTTTGAAAGAAATTTTTCGAAAATCAGACCTACCATTACAAAGTCACGTGTCCTTTTGTCTTCGCATGTCAGCCCGAAAATCGCTCATTTTTGTGATTTGTGTACAAAACATATGGAAATCTCATTTTTCAAATAAAGAGGTAAAACATTGGTTATTTGGTCTTGTTTAGATTTTAGGTGTTTATTTTGGGGTCAAAATAGTTGAATTATAGATGGAAATGAAATAAAACAACAAAAACAATAAAATACATAAGTAAAAAAAACAAAGAAATACATAAGAAATTATCAAAACAATAGATAACATAAGGAATAACCCTGGTTTTTCAAATTTTTGTGTTGTATTATTATTCCAAATGGTCTAACAAATATATGTAGTGAGAAAGAATGCTTAAATATGAATAATGTCTGATTTATGGGCAAAAATGTGAATTTAATGACCTTATTTGCATAAATTACCATAAATATGCAAATGAGTGAATTTTTCAAAAAAATTGAAATTACCATAGTATTCTATACACTTCACTTGACATGTATGCAAATTTTCGCGGCGATCGGGCGTTTCACGGCCGAGATCATAGGGGGGGGCCTGAGAAGCCCCCCCCCGGGCTATGCAGTTTCAAAATAGCCCGGGCTAAATAGGGTTAACCTCTGTTAAATCAACTTTGAATAAGCAAAATTTGTTAGAACCAGGAGACTCCAAGCTCCCTTTCCTAAATTCCATGCACTCACCTGCTTGTGAGAAGCCTCCCTCACATTGAGCAGCTTACCCCTGAGGGGGAACACCCCATAGTGGTCTCTACCGACCACACCCAGTCCGCTGACGGCCAGGGTCTTGGCCGAGTCTCCCTCGGTCAGGATGAGCGTGCACTTGATAGAGTTCTTTCCTCCTGCATCGTTTGCATCGTCCAGCTTGGGGATGCCCTTCAGCTTGGAGTGCTTGGAGGAGTGGCACTTCTTGTCCAGTTGGCTCTGTCGTATATGAAGATACAAAAATGTTCTTGATACCAATCATAAAGCATGCACATCCGACGCAGAAATAATTTCTTCTTTTTTTAAGGTCATGATAGATCCATTATTATTTACAGTTTAATAAACCTATTATTACACCTCATTTTCCAAAAACATGTTTATTTGATATCAGACTTGATTTTAATTTGGTATAGATCATTATGAAGTCAAGCCAAGTTCATGACAGATTTATATTCCCAAAAACTTTTATCATGTAACAAGTTTAGCAATCATTAAATAGTAAACTTCAATAACTGTTGACTAACTCCTTCCTCAGCCAGGACATAGATTGCATAATGGGGTAATCTCTCATGTTTCATTCTTTAGTACAGAGACTACCTTGTCCTCATAGGCAGAGGGGTTATTTTCATGAAAAAGTGAATTAAAAATGTTTTATATTGTTAATGAAATAGGAGAGTTTTCTGATTTTTAGGGGGTCTGAAATAATGACAAGTATTGAACAGAATAACAAATAATTAGATTACTTTCAAAATGAAAATCACAAACCTGAGCCTTGAATTTCATCCACGACATGATGCTCTCTACGATACCACAGGTAAGTGCCTACATGAGAACGAGAATAGCAAAAAAAAGACATGTAAGGTATAAGAAACATGCGTGGTATAAGAAAAATCCAAAAGTAAAAGAATGAAGTCTTTATGGACAGGAGTTATCAATAATTTCAGTCTTTTTAATGCCGATTTAAAGAAAGTCCACAATCGCTATACATATTGTTAGCATTGTTAGCTAGGTCATCCCCAAAATAAGTGGTATTATCCTTTCCTTGATTTAGGCACACTGTTTTAAGCATATTTATTTCATTAGGCGCTATGTGGAACTCTTAATTACTTTATCATAGTCACTTTCTGACACATACAATCACAATTTCTTAATATGGTGCAAATAACTTTCTATTTAGTGGTCTGAATTAACCGGATACCAATCAAATACAATATCTATTCTTTCAACAAAGCAAAATCCATACGTTTGATTAAAAACCAGTCCTGAATCTCGCCCCACCAACTTACCCCTTTGATGAACTTGTCGCTCAGCTTGCATTCAGAGCCAAACTTCTTGGCCTGCAGGGTCATGTTCTCCTTGGTCTGCGAGTCAAAGGTCGGGTTCTCAATCAGGCAGTTCACAAACACCATGACATGATTCTTGATCTGTATAAAGAAGGTAACATAAGTGTCATCAAATTCGAAATCTCTCAAATTGTTTTATAGCTTAATTAATATCTTGACCTTGAGAGGGAGCTATATAACGTAAAGAGTTTATTATTTGCAATTCCATAACTTTAGCCTCGATTTTAACCGCGACAACAATCACTGAATATTGTAGGATCGCATATGCTTCCACTATGTTCATTTGAACCAAATTCATGACCCCATACCAAAACTTTGTATTACCTTTTAACAACACTATCACAAATATTTTTTTTGAATTCAAAGAATTTGATGAAATAATCTTAATAATAATAGGCAAGGCTCGACACTAACAGGCCCTATAACAGGTGGGTATACCACTGTACTGTTTACCAAGTATACTTTATCATGGCAGTATTCTATCCCCCATCCCCACCCATCACAGGTCATCACCACTCTGGTAATACCACTGCACTGTACAAATGTTAAGTATGTGATCCTGACCGTAGCTAGTTGAAAGAGATAGATAACCTATGACCTTATTTCGCATATGCTTACATGCGCATGTCACAACTATCTCTTTCAATAGGCTACGACCCTGGCTATCTCATTACCTGGAATGGTTTGATGTTGACCCCTCCCTTGTTCTTCTTCTTGACCGTCTCAATCAGCTTGGTAATCACCTGATCAGCGACAAAGTCCACGTGACGACCACCCTGCAAAGATAAGAAAACTCATGTATAATAAAATGCACAAAGAAATGTCATAAAAAGGTGTTTTTCATTAAAACTAATCATGTTTCATAAATTCTAAGCAAGTAAGCATCAACCATCTGTAATATTCGTTTTAGTTCCTGGCGTTGAATCCATTATATGCAAATCAAAATGTTCCAAAAAATACAGGGCCTATCAGAAATTTCAAGTAGATTTATAGATTAAGTGAAAACAAATTGCCTTCACTTATATATGTACATCTTTTTTCTACAGTAATTTCGCAAATGCATGTGCAGAAAGATCTACAGGATAAACAGGGTATATATATGGATATATATGTTTCATCTTCAATTTTAAGATAAAAGAGAATGATTTGATCTGTGTTTTTTTTCTTCTTGATTTTAATTGACATGAAAAAGTATCCTTGCCTTGGTGGTAGCAATGCTGTTGCAAAAGCTAACTTGCTGGAAACCTTTTTCACTCATACACAGACAGACCTCCCAGCGAGGGTTGACCTGCTCGTGGAGCACCTTCAGGGGTTCCCTGTCCTCCGGCTGGAAGCACTTCACAAACATATCAACGTACGACTTGAAGCCAGTCACCTGCGATGAGCAATGAATATGAATAGGGATGGAATTGAGAGGTCGTTTGGGATGAGTTATGATTCCAAACAAGAGAAAGGGAAAGAGAGAAAGGCATTAGAAAAGGAATAATGAAGAGATGGGACACGGTTTAGTCAACATACGGTACATGTTAATGTCAAGTTTGATGACAATCATATAAGAATGCAATACAAATTATATTGTATTATATTTATGTTGAATGTAAAAATATTATTGGTTCAATAAAAACTTTTTGTTTAAATATTTTGAAATACCACAAAAATACAAAATATAGTGGATGGTCTCTTGTCGACACTGGATGAAACATATGAACAGGATGCCTGAAAGTTATAAACCCAAAATAAAATAGACAACATTTGGTGTTGAGGTAAGAAATAAGAAATGGATGACTCAAAAAGAAGAGAAAGAAGAAACAGAATAAAGAGAGTAAGGGGTTAGGTAAAGTATATATTTTTAGTGTACTTTTCCTTTTAACCCTACTTTAACTGGGCTATTTCAGACCAGGTTTTTACTGGGGGGGGGGGGGGGTCAATTTGACACACCCCCCCTAAGATCTCGGCCGTTTCACTGCCGATCGCCGTGAAAATAATAATAATAATACAACACAAAAATTAGAAGAGCCAGGTTATTCCTTATGTTATCTCTTGTTTTGATAATTTCTTATGTATTTTATTGTTCTTTTAACATATGTATTTTATTGTTTTTGTTGTTTTATTTCATTAATAACTACAATTCAACTATTTTGACCCCAAAACAAACACCCAAACTTTAAACAAGACTAAATTACCAATGTTTTTATCTCTTTTTAGGAAAAATGACATTTCTGTGTGTTTTGTACACAAATCACAAAAATGAGCGATTTTTCGGGCTGACATGCAATGACAAAATGTCACGTGACTTTGTAACTATACGTTCCGATTTTCAAAAAATCATTTTAAAACATGCGTTAGACTCGAAAGAAAAAAGTCATGAAAGGAAAATTTTATATCTGCCGCGGTTTCGGAGTAGTCGCGAAAATTTCTACAGGGGGGGGGGGGTCAAATTGACCCCCCCCCCCCAGTTAACATAGGGTTAAAGAACCAATGAATGAGTACAATTTCTCTCCTAAATGTTACAGAGCAAACGTATTAGCTTGACGTTTGTTCTCATTTCATTTGAGCACACTTCAAACATCAGTACTTTAAATTTAAAAAAATCGTTGTAAACAAGATTCGAGGAATAAGATGGACAACAAAAACTACTTACAGGCAATTTCTTGCCGTTGAGGAACACCTTGACACCTTTGAGACAGCCTGCGATGTCGTAGGCGCGGCGCGTCAGGAGGGCGATGGTGTCACGGTCCAGACAGGTCATCTTGAATTTCTCGAGGTCAGGGCTGAAGCTGATCTCCGTGTAGTCGTTGCCGTCAAACGGAGATAGATGGTTTGCGCCCTTCTTGTTCATGTTGTTTGACCAACTCTATGAAGGAAAAAAAAAAAAAAAGCGATAAGATGTATTACATTGATTGAATCAATTTAATTGAACTGAAATGAAATTGGATTATTTGCACGAAATATATCAAATCACTGACAGAAGGATTGAGTCCGATAGGGGTAGAAAACAAGGGAAACGCTCTCGGCAGTCTCGCCTGCATAACGCAATTCAATGACGTAGCGCTCATCCGCATCTCACAACAACAAATATCGTAAATTTTATGTGGTACACTTTTGGGCGCTAGTGTAGCAAGGTATCCAAAATATAGCCTACTAAAACAGACCCCAAATTTTGTGGTCATCATTACCCTAACCCTAACCCTAACCCTAACCCTAACCCTAACCCTAACCCTAGAACCCTAACCCTAACCCTAACCCTAACCCTAGAGATAATGATAAACACGAAATTTGGGGTCTAAAATTTGAGGTCTGTTTTAGTAGGCTATATTTTGGATACCTTGCTACACTAGCGCCCACTTTTGAACTGGTCAAAAAATAGAAATTTGATGCCCTGGAAGGGACATAATTTCATTTCATTTGCATAAAGTACCATAAATAATCAATGGAGCAAAATCTCACAATTCTGTGTAGAAGTTTATTGTTCCAAATTTAGCTCTACCAGATAAGGCAAAATCGGTCAAGAAATGAGGGAAAAGAAGCAATTTTTGTTATTTTTGGAATAAATTTGCATAAATTACCATAATTAATTAATGGAGAACAATTTCAAAATTCTGTGTAGAAGTTTAGTGTACCAAAGTTAGCTCTACGATATAAAGCAAACCAAATCAAAATCGGTCGAGAAATGAAGGAGAAGAAGCCTTTTTTGTGATTTCGAATAAATTTGCATAAATTAGCATAGATAATGAATTTCACGATTCTGTGTAGAAATTTTAAATCCTCTCCTAGCCCTATCATATGAAACAATCAGAATCAAAATCGGTTGAAAAATAACGAAGAAGAAGCATTTTGAAAATCTTAATGTTGATGCCACAACAAAGTCTAAGTTTGTTGACCTTAAATGGCCTTTGACCTTAACTTAGTGACCTGAAATTCTACTCACATGATGGAGGAGACTTGATAACCCTATAGTCCAAGTTTCATTGACTAAAAACTTATACTTTCAAAATTATATCAAAAATTCAAAAACTTAACCTTAGGTTAAGTTTTCGATGATGATGCTACAACATAGTCCAAGTCTGTTGACCTGAAATGACCTTTGACCTTGACTTTGTGATCTGAAATTCTACTCACATGATTGGGGATACTTGATTACCCTATAGTCAAAGTTTCATTGACTAAGAACTAATACTTTAAAAATTATACCAAAAATTCAAAAACTTAACCTTAGGTTAAGTTTTTGATGTTGACGCCGTCGCCGTCGCCGTCGCCGTCGCCGCCGCCGTCACCGGAAAAGCGGCGCCTATGTCTCGCTTTTTGCTACGCGGGCGAGACAAAAAGGGGCGAGGGGGAAAAACGGGGGGACAGGGGGAGAAAAGGGAGAAGGGGAGAAAGATGGGGGTAGGGGAAGGGTGGAATACTTGGTAATCATTGACAGGCTAATATAAATATTGTGAGGTACCAACTCAGGATAGTTTTGAGGTTGGTGATATCACTAGTATTATTAGCCTCTAGAAAAGGTGATCAGAGGATTGAACATATCTCATAATCAAAACACATTTCTTTCCCTTTTAGTTTCTACATTTTTTTCCCATTTTTTTTTTAGGGGTGTAAAAGCTTGTAACAATTACACTTGTATGTGATCTTTATTTAACAATGTTAAAGTGCAAAAAAAACATCAACAAATCAGTGAAGGGGACGGGACGGGAGTCATTTTTTTTTAATTTTTTAGGAGGGTATGATTAGTGAATGATAAATTATTTATTGGTTGGTTTGTTGAATGAACACTTGGGTTGTAAGACTGACCTGCTTGAATTTCTTTCCATAATCCTTGCTGGCAGTAGAAACGGAGAACTTCTTGCTGAAGATGTTACAGAGTTTGGCACCATAGCCATTACGACCACCTACAAACCAAACAATGAATGCAGAAGACATTAAAGATAAAGGTGAGTTCTGGTAATGTGATTGCATTGTGAAAGAAAAGGTGTGGAATGGATCAGAAAAAGTTGATCATATAGCATGTAAGTATTGGTGTGTAATGCAAGGTTCCTGAGTCATGAAAATCATCATAAATTTGGCCCAGTCTTGGTAAAGTAACAATCACTGTACACAGAAAGATGTATATGGGACAACACAAATGGTGACGGGGCTACCCGGGCTAGTACTACCTTGATTTCCTTATCTTTCTATGCTCATTACTCAGCCAGTATACATTTTCTTCCAAAATTGTTTGGCACATGACATTTATTTGTAATCTTGAACATTCAGTGTAAGTTTCGTTAGATTCTGTGAGAATTCATTTTCTTTTTTTTACCAGAACTCAAGTTTATCTTTAAACATGACAAATTGTGATATTTCTAGAAATGACAGATTGTCTTTAAGCAAGCAGCAACCCTAAGAGAACAATATCTTTAGTCTAAATGATCCTAAAAGTAATGTCAGATTAAAATCAGAACTATATTTCAATGTTCAAACTTTCAAAACACTGTTAGATTTGATAAGACAAGTATGCATGTATGTTGTTTTTTTTCCAGAGAAACTCTTAGTCATATCTAGTTTCATACATGCAAGCTTTCTGCTAGTCTTTAAAATGTGTATTTAATTACTAGTATAAAAAGTCTAGAAGTAATACACCAAATTTGTGTACAATCTTTTTGTGTTACTACAAACTAAAATGTGATGATTTACTCTCACACAATACAACAGAAAATGAACTTAGTCAATGAACAAGCATAGATATTAAGCCTCAACAGTAAATGCATTTTAAGTTCAAGTTCTTGCTCATTCTGGCAACCTCTTTGAAACGTCCACCCACCTGTGACTTTCTTTTGCGTGTCGTCATAGTTACTGGATGTCAACAGATGGCCGAAAATCATCTCTGGTACGTACATCTTCTCTCCCTTGTGCTCCACTACGGGAATACCCTTCCCGTTGTTCCACACACTGATTGTGTTGTTCTCACTAGACAAAATAGAAAGGTTTAGCAATAACGTTGAATTCTGAGTGAATCATTACATTTTTCTCAAAGTTTTAGCAGAGAGTGATTTTTTCGTACATTATTACTATTGTTCTCAATGGTCAAAACTGGTCAGAGACTTGGAATTTTATTAAAGCACTGCCCATAAGATAAAATATACCACAGAGATACCCTTCCAAATGATTGAAAAAACAGATTGTGTTCCCTTCACTGACAAAATAGAAAGTGTAAGCAGAGGTATTGAATTTCAGCACAAATAATTTCTACCAACAATACCAATGAAAGTGTTCTCATTGGCATAATAAAGATCAAGTTTCCCACCCCCCCCCCCCCCAAAAAAAAAAAAAAAAAAAAAAAATTTAAAAAAAATGGTGAGTGATGATAATCAACACAACTGAGAGGGAGACAGATATTGGTATTACGACTAACTTATATGATTACAATTGTTGATCATTTCATTCACTAGGGTATTAGCCTAGGTTGATACTCACGGGTCAATGGTAATCTTGATGCAGTTCATGTTAGGATCTCTCTGCTTATTATCAGCAGCATTCACTGAAAATAAAGAGGAAGATTGCAAGTCAGTGAATTTGGTAAACGGAAAAATGTGTTCATTACGTTGTAGGAAACAAGATGAAGTGTGCCAAGGATTATGAGACAATCTCTTCTGCACTTATGATGAAAGCTTAGATCTGATCAAACTTCATATGTTTTAGTACTTTCATTTGCAATGAATGGAATGTCGATTGTCTTCATGAACTCTCTTTCCCATGATAACAACTGAATATTGATTTAAATGATATCAAAGCAATAAAGTTGATTGAGTTTGATTGCATTTTATCGTCTTTTCCCTTTCAATTCATCTTAACTGGCTTATTTGTCATCATTAATATCCCTTTTGCACTTTCTTGTCTATCTCAAAGTCCATCTTGAGATGTAATATCCTGACTTTTGTCTTGGACTGTGTATTAATTAGGCAAGTGTTACCTACCAAGGATTTCATCAAAGATCTTGTAAAGACCAGGCACAAATGTGATTTCTCTATTCACAAGAGTTTCTCCATCTATCACCCACATGGCCTACAAAGAGAAAGAATTGCGAAACAGAATATAATGATTTAGATTATTGCCTGAATCTAGATAACATTTATTTAGTGCATTTTTAATTATGTTAAAAATCAAGCACTACATGTATGCTACTTCCACACATAAGTAAAATATAAGTGTACTTTATAAATCATTGAGCATACTTGAAGATCAAAACATTGATTCATTCAAGTAAAATTAAATATAATTCCACTGTGCCCTCAGACTTTGTCCGATACTGGGAATAAAAGTCAACATTTGTATTTTCCTCAATTCCCACACTGTCAATGCTTCTATGGAGACGGCGAAATTCATTTAAATAAATATGCCTTTTAATTGATTAGGCGAATGACTGAATGTATTGTATGAAAGTTTTGTCTTAACAGGGATTAAATGTTTATAAATTGCTTTATTCCAAGATCCTAAATTGAGGTAATTTTGTTAATTGTTAAAACTAGAAACAGGTTATCAGATATCATCTCCTTGATGTTCATAATAATCACAGCAAATGTGTACAAAATAAAAATAATAAAAATAAATGAATCAAGATCTTAATGACATTGTGTGCCCAGCAGTAAAGGATTCACAAGATTATTGATATTTGATATTAATATACTTCACTATGATTATGAATCCCCCAACAACTTTCTATTTTAATAATAGGTCCATAAAAATGAATAATTACAGAGAAATAGAGCAGTAGTTATAGACTGTGTCAGTGACAGTGTCTTTTGACATACCTGTGTCAGCGGCTCAGTGGATCCGATATAGGTGTCAGGGCGGAGTAAGATGTGCTCCAGTTGGGTCTTCTTCTGGTAGATCCGCTCCACCGAAAGACGCTTCTTACCCTTTGACCCCTTGCCGGGCTGGCCAGGAGACGGGAGGTCCGGGATATCATTTTTCTTAGCATTGTCAAAGAGGGTCTGTGGATAGAACATACATGTAGAAGCAGAATAAGTTCACATGATTCAGGTTTTCAGTGTGCAGAATTGGTAATCAACTAGAGTAAATTGATACAAAATTACATTTCATAGTTTTTAGAACGTTTTTAAAATTATGAGGTAATTCAGAGCACCTGATCTTTAGAGAGTAATTCCACATACGGTAATCAAGCTTTCCAAGTTTAAAAGATAAACCCATCATAAACTCCAGCAAAGCATAGAGAGTCAATGCTAACAATGCGTATTGACCTCTAGCACTGCATACTTGCTGTCAGTGTGAGGCAGGTATTATTAGACCTACATGTATACACAAATACATGTATACACACCACACAATATTGCATACGGTAGACTGCACACAATCATGCCGATGCAGCTGTAAGCAAAGTTTGACAGTAGACTTACAATTTGAATTTTTAAATTATTTTTTTTAACATCAGTAACTTTACTGCTATTTAGGTGTCATCAGTTGTCACTATAAAAGACCGAATTTGAGTTAAATCAGTTGAGTTTTGTACAGTGGTGTTTGAAATGTTGAGAATCAAAAGCACAGCTTACACAGCCAGGATAGTGATGCTCCTATGTGTGTCGGTAACATGATTGTTGAAGGTTGATGAAAAAACTGTAATTTTTGTATGAAATGTTATTCCTTCTACACGTAGATCTACTGTCATGATAACTCCGGGAAGCTCCAACACTGCGGCGCCGGTGTTGGAGCTTCCCAGAGTTACTGTCATGACAGTGTAGGCTACTAGACTAAGTATAGTACTAAATTACTAACCCTCTAACATGCAAAAAATCCTGAACAAATTCTCAAACCACAGTCAAAGCACAAAGATATTTATGGTTTTCTTTGAAGGCGTCACTAGACTAAGCGACACCCTCTAGTCTAAGTCTAACAGTAAATTCTCCCAAATTTTTTCCATGAAAATAAGACATAAGACAGGCTTTTAAAAATCTTTCAACTTTTAAATGTCTCTCTGTCTCTGACTTGATCTCACTTTCTCAGTTTCAATCATGTCTCTCTTTCATTCAAATTCATTAGCCTACTCTCAATCTCATCATTTCAATTTCATAGTCTAGATCTAGCCTACTCTCTTTTATTAAAGATCTTACAAAGTTACAGCATGCCAATCAGAATCTAACAGTTCATCCTGATTCGAACACATATAAACAGATTACAGATAACCAATTCACGTACTGAACGCAGGGTTCAGTCAGCATGATCACCGATCACGACCCTAGGCCTGGCCTGGCGACCTGGCTTGGCCTGCGCTGCTGACCTGTATTTATGTATACCACCACTATACGCGCCCTAATTTGCCCAGCGATGGAGTGGCGGCGACCCAGCCCAAGCTCTAGGCTAGTTGATTGGTGGCAAGGGAGTCCGTGGCTGATTTGCGGCTGTGCAGTCGACAACTCAAGCTAAATTTCATTCGATAATTCAACGAATGTCATTGAATGACAATCATACCTTTAAAGGTCCATCAGATGCCATGATCTTTCAAGATTGTCTTCCATCAACAGAGGCAAACTAAGTAGAATCTGAATTTAAGTTATGATTGTCAGCTTTACAACGAACGCTTCATACCAGTGCAGCGAGCATGATCAGAATGGCTACAGCATGCACAAATGATTTGAAATTCCGCCGCGCCTCAACGGCGAATTTGACCAATCAGCGGTTGTTATTTGCCTACTATATACGTCACAATGAGTAGTAGGCAGCGCATACATGTGTAAGTTGATCGTTATGAAAATCTACCTAGTCTACGTTATCTCTTCTATTTCTACAGAAAAGCTTTTCAATGAAATGTGTTGAATTAAAAAGTTGGTGACATACAAATACAAAGCTCATTAATGCTCCATTTAAGTTCACCAAATACAGTTTGAAGTTTGCATGAACCATGCAGGCCTGGCATGATGAACTAATTTTATTTTATTTTTAAGCCGTGGCATTGCCATTGATTTAGCGAGGATCTAGATCTTCTCTAAACAAGGAAGGGAACAATTCAAATGTTTTATTTATAAGTTAAAAAGCATTTTCTTCATACCGGAGACTTATTTATCAGTAAACTTCAATCGAATTGTAAAAAAATTAAGAAAAAAAAGAAAAAAGGATAACGCTGCGAGCAGGGTTCGAACCTGCGCGGGAAGATCCCATTGGATTTCAAGTCCAACGCCTTAACCACTCGGCCATCACAGCTCCCGCCTCTCACAGAGTTGGTATTTGCGATACATTCCAATTTTAGACAGGTGCGAATACGGTATACAGTACAGGGAACTTATCGGAAGATGACAAGTGAAGTGGCAGTCTCAGAAAACACCAGGGTAAAAAAGGTGGGGGCATGGAGGGCCCGGGCCCCCACCCCTGGCAAAAAAAAGTTTACATAAAAGCTGGTATTTTACCTTTTCGCTTGTTTGTTTTCAAGGGGGGGGGGAGTGTTGAGAAGAAGACAAAACTGCTCACTGTTGGGTAAAATATCACGACAACCACCCCCCCCCCCCGCCCCCAGCGTTGAGCGAAAAAGGAGCTAAATCCATGAAGAAAATAATATTGAAAAAAAATCCTTATTTACTGGTCGAGGGTATACACCTCTAATATCCAAATATGAACATAATATATTACTGTTTTTGAAAGATGATTTACTCGGAAATACCCAAAGTGGATTTAACTCCTTTTGTAATCAAACTTGGTTTCAGCATTATATAGAAAATAATAAAGCGGGTCAGCTTAATTGTTTAATGTTAAGCATGCAATGCAGAGCCCCCCCCCCCCCCCCCCCCCGGTCACTCAGACTATCCTGAATTGCGCATCTACCCGGGGCACTACCATGCAAGTATATAATTCTTACTAAAAGAACTATCTTTGTATGTTTTATAACATAATTTTGCTATAAATGACATTATAAAATCAATTGTGATATAGTGGTGTAGACCTAAAATGAGGAGCGAGGACCATATTTGGTGATGCTGCCTCAATCTCAAATGATAGAAAAGAACATTTTGAAAATTGGAGTTGTCCAACTTGTATCCTTCAAGAATTGCCCTTTTTTGATGAAGAGTTATATAGACGTAGATCGTAAACCCTGCGCCGGTAATGAGTCGAACTTAGAACGTGACACGAATCTTATTAAGAATGTAGGTCAAAGTTATAGTATTTATGATAAAGGATTGTCAATATCCCATCTTAATGTTAGAAGTTAACGAAATAAGAAAGAAGAAATTGAATTAATTCAGTTGATTTATTCACAATGTCTGAGACCTGGATTGACGATTCCTTTACTTCGAACATCTTAGACATTCCAGGTTACATCTTCGAAAGGAGAGATAAATGTTGTCGAGGTGGAGGAGTTGGGTGTTACATAAGAAATAATATAGGATATGTAACAAGACGTGATCTTGAAAAAGACGATTTGGAAATAATGTGGTTTGAATTGAGGGTTAGAAATCGATTACCATTAAGGCTGTGAAGGGTAGTCGAATGCTCGAGTACCCGCACGGTTGACAACTACTCGGGTACGATTTCTCGTACCCGAATATTCGGCCGCAAAAAAAAAAAAAAAAAAAAAAAAAAAAAAAGCCGCAGCGTTAAAAAGCAACGAGCTAAATGTCAAGCGCGAAGCGCAAAAGTACAAAAAAGAAGTAGAGAGTGGGAGAGAGAGATAATGAGAGATAGAGAGGATACAGGCGCGTATGCAGAGGGGGTCACCCCACCCCCCCCCCCCCAAAAAAAAAAAAAGAGAGAGAGAGAGAGAGAGAGAGAAAGGAGAAAGGAAGAGGACGTAGGAAGAAAAAAGATTAAGGGTTGAGAACGGTACAACGAATCATCATCTTTCTCTAATAATGTAATGAAACGTCAAAGCTTCGCGGGGGAGGGGGGGGGGGGGGAACTGAATTCAGACAAGGATTAAGAGTCGAGAATGGTTCAACGAATCGTCTTCTTTCTTTATTAATTTCATGAAACGTCAAAAAAAACTGAATTTTTGATTAGGATTAAGAGTCGAGAACGGTACAACAAATCGTCTTCTTTCTCAAAAAATGTAATGAAACGTCAAAGCTGCAGCGCTTTGCGCGGGAGGGAGGGAACTAAATTCAGACAAGGATTAAGAGTCGAGAATGGTACAACGAATCGTCTTCTTTCTTTATCAATTGAATGAAATGTCAGAGCTTCCGCGCTACGCGCGGAGGAATGGGAATTTCATTCAAACAAAGATTAAGAGACGAGAACTGTACAACGAATCGTCTTCTTTCTCTAATAATTTAATGAAACGTCAAAAGAAATTGAATTTAGACAAGGATTAAGAGTCGAGAACGGTACAACAAATCGTCTTCTTTCCCTAATAATTTAAAGAAACGTCAAAGCTTCGCGCGGGAGGGGGGGGGATGAACCATGGCCCTGGGAAGCGGGGGTGCTGGGGGTGCTGCAGCCCCCCCGGAAATTTTTCAGGGGGTGCATAGCACCCCTGCAATTTTTTTGTATGATATATTTAATGTAGACTACATCATTATGCTTCGTTTACGAAATTGTCACAAAGCCGACAGTCACAAATTATGCTTTTTATTATTATTATTTAAAAAAAATTTCTTTCACAAAATCCTATAACATACCCGCGACACAAGTGCGTGGTGACAGCTAATAGTACATGGGTCTGGTGCCATGCAAAGCTTGCAATATGCCAATCTATGTGTACAGCGATGATTGCATTTTTTTGTGTGTTGACAATGGAAACCAGATTGCTGGAAACTGAATTCAGACAAGGACACGATACAACGGATAGTCTTCTTTCTCTAATAATTTAATGAAACGTGAAAGCTTCCGCGCTTCGTGCGGGAGGGGGGGGGGGAACTGAAAATTCAGACAAGAATTAAGAGTCGAAAACAGTACAAAGAATCCTGTTCTTTCTCTAATAATTTAACGAAACGCCGAAGCTTCCGTGCTTCGCGCGGGAAGGGGGGGGGGGGCTGCATTCGGACTTGAATTAAGAGTAGAGAACGATACAACGAATCTTCTTCTTTCTCTAATAATTTAATGAAACGTGAAAGCTTTGCGCGGGATAGGCGAAATGATTTCAGACAAGGATTCAGAGTAGAAAACGGTGCTACAACGAAATTATTTATGAAACGTGACAGCTTTCGCGCTTCGCGCGGGAGGGGGCTCGGGGGGAGACTGAATTTAGACTAGGAATAAGAGTCGAGAACGAAACCACGAATCATCTTCTGTCTCTAATGATTTAATGAAACGCGAAAGCTTCCGCGTTTCGCGCGGGAGGGGGGGGGGGCAACTGAATTTAGACTAGGATTAAGAGCCGAAAACAGTACAAAGAATCGTCTTCTTTCTCTAATAATTCAATGAAACGTCATAACTTCTGCGCTTTGCACGGGAGGGGCGACACAAGAATTAAGAGTCGGGAACGGTACAACGAATCGTCTTCTTTCTCTAATAATTTAATGAAGTGTCAAAGCTTCCGCGCTACGCGCGGGTGACGGAAAACTGAAAAATAACTTAGTTCCTGGCCCCGGGTTAATAGTGTTAAATTTGTAGACATTGGGACATTGGAATTAATATACTTGTCGGTAATTGGTGGCTCGTTTTGTCAGTAATCGGTGGCACCCCCCCCCCCCCTCGATCGACGCCTCTGATAACACAGTTTATACACTCGAAATAATTTTTGCAAGTACTACTGGTGAAGTACCAGGCCCAGGGGTAGATCCAGCCAGCGGCAGGGGAGGGGGCCCAATTCGTGAGAAAATATTTAGCGGCGAAACAGCCGGCCGATAATTCGCATAGTGGGGGAGGGGGTTGGGGGGAGGGGGTAGTGAGCACTAATTTTTTGTTTTTTTGCTCCCGCAAATTGAAAATCGTGCCGGCTGATAATTCGCTCAGCCCTCCCCTCCTGGATCCACCACTGGTGTCCAACAGTTTTCCACAAAATAACTAAAATTTCTATTGTGCAAAATGTATGACTCCGGAGAGTCTTTGCATTTTAGAGTTCCTAGATAATATGCTTTCCTTAAGACTCTCATTACCTTAGCCTGCTTATACACTCTTTTAATTCAATGGACTTGAAATTTCTCTGTGCATTAACCTGTACAACTATAATTACTTTTACCTCATTTATCTCTAATCTTTTTTTTTTGAAGAGCACCTAAAAAGATTGTAAAATAGGTGTTTGTAGTAATATTTTAATCATGAAGTTTGTATCGTTATGCACGTAATCAAGAAACTAAGGTTACCTGTTTACGATTCTTTTCCATATGGTGTTTTAATTATTATGATAATCAGAAAGATTTGATTGCCGTGCACTAATCAAGAACCTAAGGTTACCTGTTTACGATTCAATTCCATATGGTTTTTTAATTATTATGATAATCAGAAAGGTTTGATTGTCATGCACAATTTTATAATCAAGTACCTAAGGTTACCTGTTTACGATTCTATTCCATATGGTGTTTTAATAATTATGATAATCAGAAAGGTTTGATTGTCGTGCACTAATCAAGAACCTAAGGTTATACCTGCATACAATTCTACTATTCCAAACGGTGTGTTTATTGTAGCTTGTTTTATATGTTAAGGAGTATAATCAATCCATCGGAGTGAAAACATGATTGGAATTAGTACATACAATCCAT